CTGGCGAGCGCCCTGGATGAAGCCTCGTGCACAGACCAGTTTAGGCAGAGAGGGAGTTCTTGGAAGTGACGCAGTGTCCCTTCGTCAGAACAAAAAACAAAGAAGACGCGTTTGACTCATAAATAATAGCTCAGGAATAACTAAGAAAACCAGACACACAGTAACATTTCAATCCGAGAGACTCTTATGAGTTAAACTTCCCGTTTTAAGGCAGCAAGTAAAGTCATCTGATCCGCGTGCCTTTCTTCTGCCCAACGGAGGGGAGGTCAGGGGCAGGGAGGGAGCTGGCCCCTGGGAGCCCCACCCGGCGCTCTTCCCCAGATCCATCCCAGCCCTCTCGGCCCCCAGCTGTGATCCTAATGCATCGCTCCAGAGTCCCTGGGCCCCATCCAGCGCAGCCTGCCGGGAACACCTGCCTGATCCAAGGCCCCTGGCTTGGCAGCTTCCCCTAGGCCAGGCTCTCCCAGGGGCAGATGACCTCCTTCTTGACGGCCTGGTCACCCGGTCCTCCTGTCCCGGCGTCCTCTGAGTCCAGCAGGCAGCTTCCACTCTCCACAGGCACATCCATTCTGATCTGGAAAAAGCTTCAGACGCAAGAGGAAAGCAAGTGTGGGGGGCAGGGGAACACCAAATGGGAAGAATCAACAGGCATGCACACCCACAGACATGAGCACACATACACGTATGCACACACCCACAGACATGTGTGCACACATACATGTGTACACAGAGAGACATACATGCACACATACATGAGTGCATACACCCACAGATATACGTGCACATATACACTCATGCACACAGACATGTGTGCACACAGTTATGCACACACCCACAGACATGCGTACACACATGCATACATGTGTACACCCACAGACATGAGCACATATACACACATGCACACACACACAGTCACATGTGCACACACATGCATGTGCACGCCCACAGACATGAACCCATATACACACCCACAGGCACATGTGCACACACACGCACAGCACAGTGCTCCCTGGTTCTTACTTTGTCACTCTCCTGGATTTCAGCCGTGGCAGCTGCTGACCCACATCCCCCAGGGGCTGCACCTTCCCGTGGGACACAGAGGGGCACTTGGGCGAGAGCCTGGCGAAGACCGGGGAGGCTAAACAGCCTCGCCTCAGAAAACTGCTGAAGGACAGAGCCACGCGGGCCTTGAGAGGGGCCCTGGGCGGGGGCCGGGGCCACGCGCAGTCGGCGGAGGCCTCACTGGTGTCCGCGTTGGAGGGTCCGTGGCTGGCATTGGACCCACCGGCCTCCCCCTTCTGCTCCGAGCCCAGGGAGCTCTCCAAAGCCACTGAGATGGGCGAGGGGCAGACGGTGCTGCTGGGCCTCCGGATGAAGCGGCCTGGCGAGGGGAAGGGCTTCCTGGGGGAGCGGCAGGAGGGGGCGAAGGGGCTGGACGGAGAGGGGGGCACGCAAGTCCCTGTGTACACGGCCAGGTGGGGGCTGGGAGCGGTGTGCTGGCCCGGCTGCAGGGAAGCGAAGGAGAGCTCAGCGTGAGTCGGGCGGCTGGTGGGGGGGCCCAGGAGCTGCCCTCTGGTAACTCAGCCCCTGCCAGTGCCCCGAGCCCAGGTCTGCTACAGCTGTCCCCTGGGAAGCTGGGGAGGGTGCCCAAAGCCATACACAGGCCTCCTGCCCAGGGGCCTGCCTGTCCCCAGGCCCTGGCCACAGTCCCCAGACTTGGGCGCTTGCATCGCAGGGCAGACTGGTCATCCTCCAGGCCTGAGACGCTGGATCACCTCAACTTCAGTCCCCCAGTGAGCAACGCTCCGTAGCTGCCATGTACCGCCATCCCTTCTCTGTCCCTGGTTCCCAGCCTAAGGGCTGGAGGCATTGCGACCCCTTTTCATCGAGTGGCAGAGAAGGCAGGACCACCCACCCTGACCCGACCCCCACCTGTGTCCACACTGACACTTCCCTGTGCCTCGCGCAGAGCAGGGTGGCCGGGAGAAGCCCGAGCGGCACCGGGAAGGGTCAGGAGGAAGCAGGCCAGCAGGCCAGGAGGTTACTCAGTGGAGAGGTATCTCCACCTCCCGGGCCACATGGCCCGCGTCTGGGGACACTGGGGCCGGAGGGCCATGTTTTCAGCCAAGGAGCCGGAGAGAGCTGTCTATGCTGGAATTTAAATCGGCGTTTCCAGGGGGGCTCTCTGCTGTCACCCCACTTCCTCCCGGAGGGCATGGGCCACTGGCCGGGGTTTGCCGTGGCCCATCCTGAAGGCCTCCTGTGGCCACACGCCGCACCCAGGCCCAGAGCGGACGGACCTGAGGATGTGCTGCGGGTCCTGGCAGGGAGGGGACCTCTGGGAAAGCTGGACCAGCACCGCCTCCAAGAGAGAGTTGGCAATGACGTCACTGAAGAACGGCCCTCTTGGAAACTGCCACAGCCACTCAGGTCCCGCCTAGAGGGACCTGCCTGCGCGGGACCTGAGCACTGGCCCGGGAGGGAGGAGGGGCTGAGAGGCGGCTCCCTGCTCCTGCGGCTCGTGGGCCTGGTTCCAGGCCACCTGCGTGTGCCAGTCCCAAGCTGGAGATGCAAGGGCGGTCACATCCAAGAACAGCTTTTGGAGGAAAAGCAAGGCCAGGAGGCCACAGGGGGCTTGCTGGGGGGTGGGGGTGTGGGTGGGGGACTCCACTCTCTGCCACCTGCCTCCTGAATCCAAGCAAGATGCTGGGTGAAACAGCAGCTCGGAGCCGCTGATGCTGCCCAGATGCTCAGACACCCACAGGTCAGCAGACCAGCCCTGGGCCAGCGGGTTGTTATACCAGCCGAGTTGTCATTGTTGTTACGAGGCAGTGAGACTTAGCAAATGCGAGGTTCTGGGCTGAGCACTTAATGGCTTATTGCATGTACTCCCCAGAGCTGCTCGTGGAGGGAGCTATTACTATGCTCATCTCACAGACGAGGAAACTAAAACATCGAGAAGCTGAGCCCCTGGGGCACACCGCTGGGAACGGTGGTGCAGGCTTGAACCAGGCTTGCTGTCTCCATAGTTTGCATGTGTGACGGCTAGCTGAGTGTCTCAGTGTGGCCTCCAGACCAGCCACACCAGCATCACCCAGGGTGCCAGTTACAAAGGCAGATGCCCCAGCCCAGACCCACTGACAGACCCTCAGGGGCGCGTGGTTCGGGGAGAGCATCTTCTGAGTGACATCCAAGGTCATCGTTATGCACAGTACGTTTGAGGGGACCTGAGCTAACACCTCCCTTCTATGGGGACATGGTCTCCATGTAGGGTACAGTCTGCAAAGATGAAGGATAACAGTGGGCTGGGGAGAAGCTGGGCCCTGATTTAGGGCCAAGAGACAACTGTTAGGGGACAGAGAAGGACCCTAGAAGTGATTGAGCACGTCCTGTGTGCTAGGTGCTCTACGGATCTGCAGCTGCCCCACTTTAGAGACAGAATATCGAGGGCCAAAGGGGCTCATTACCCTCCCCGGGCTCTCGTACCAATCAGTGAGTGTGGGATGCAGGCTTCCAAGGCGGCCTCCACCATTCCTGCCCCTGCCCTCTGGGGGGTGTGAGCTGCAAATGCCATCGGCAGTCATTCCCATGGTCAGGCTATGTGACAAGCGACTTTAAGAAAGGATTATCCGGGTGAGCTGTTGTCATCGGGTGGACCCTTCACTTCTGAGTCTAGAGGCCAGGACGAAAGTCAGAGAGGTCTGAAGTGTGAGGGAGGGAAAAGCACCCCACTGCTGGCTCTGATGGGGGGTCCCCATGGCAAGCAATTCAGACAGCTTCTAGAAGCTGAGAGCACCCCCAGCTAATAGCCAATGAAAACCTGGAGCCCATGCCTTGGCCGGGTGGCTCAGCTGGTTGGAGCATCATCCTGTACACCGAAAGGTTGCGGGTTTGATTACTTGGTCCGGGCACATTCCTAGGTTTGGGGTTCGATCCCCAGTCGGGAAGTGTACAGGAGGCAACAGATGGATGTTTCTCTGTCACATCAATGTTTCTCTCTATCTCTCTCTAAAAATCGGCATAAACCTATCCTTGGGTAAGGAATAAAAAAAGAAAAAACTGGCGCCCTCTAGCCTACAAGAAACTGAATCCTACCGACCGTGTGAATGAGTTTGGGAGCAGGTTCTGCCCAGCGGCTTCCAGAGAACATGGCCAGCCCGGCGACAGGGGCGCGCGAGACCCTGAGCGGAGACCCAGCCCCGGCTCACCGGGACAACCACGAGCACATAAATAGAGGTTGTGTGTGCCCATCTGTTGGTGGCAGTAGGTAACTAACACGGCGACTAAATGAGAACTTGATCCCAGGTCTATGTAACCCCAAAGCCCTTGCTTCTTCTACCGACCCATACGGCCATCCCATTGCCTCTGGGTCCTGGAGAGTGGACCAGAACTAGGAAATAAGCTTTGTCATGAGGGGGAAGGACACATCGAAGTGCTCCTCCATCAGCTACCTGACTGAGGACGCCCCCTCCGGTTCATTAACTTGAATCCCGCCTACTCAGAATGAGTGATAAACTCCTGTTACGATCCCCACTTCACAGATTTAAAAAATTGAGGCTCGTGGAGATGATGCAACTTGGCCGAGATCACACAGCTTACGACAGGACGAGCCCCTCCATATCACCCACCCACCCAATTCTGTGCGCTCTACCCCGCCCCTCCCCCAGCTCCTTCTCTTTTCCGGGATGAATGACAGTACAGTGAGGAAGGTGGCCGCTGTCCGGCTTCACGGGCCTGGCCTGAGAAGCTCCTTCCTTCCGGGCCAGTAGCCATTAGCCCACCTGGCCCTACACCCTGAGCAGGATGCCTTTTCTACCGGCTCCCACCATTCTTCCATGGCCTCGGCCGCCCCCAGAGGCCGGGGCTCGCGCTGGGAGACCCAGCCCTTCCAGCCCACGCCACCCCCCACTGGCGTGAAGCAGCAAAGCGGCGGCATGCAGGGCACATGGCAAAGAACTGAGACACGACAGAGACACAGCGCAGGACAGCTTGGTCTGGTCTGGTTTTGTGCCGCTGTTTTATTACGCAAGGGAACCAGGAGAAGTGGGGGACCGAGCACGAAATGGAGCAGGTGTGTTGTCATGAGGACACAATCACAGGATCTCAACGAAAGGCAAAGCAGATGGTGCCAAGTGAAGTGATTCCCTTTCCACCCAGGAACTGATCGGCAACTCACATGGGCCCCGTGGCCGCCTGGCCTCCTGTGTCCTGGGAGCAGGCAGGTTCAGCATGCAGTGTGCGTGGTCCCCCGCCAGTCCCTGCTCACTCACCCTCCTCACTGTCCCCAAAAGCAAATGAGAAAGCTTGGTCCCATGCAGAAAGACCCATGTCATCTGTCACAGCCCAGCGCAACAGGGCTTTACTTCCGCCGTGAAACTCGGGAGCCAAAGACTGACCAGTCTCTACATACGGCCCGTCGGCCCTCTCACAAGAGCTGCGGACAGAGGACATCAACCCCCTAAGCTCCTCCCCGAACTGTACCCTACTGGTCCCTGGAGCGCTGGGAGGGCTACACTGCACGACTTTGAGGAAGGACAGAGGTAAGATGGTTTGCCCTCAGCAAGTGCCCTGCCTAATAAAGAATGACAAGTCCCGGACTGGACAGCACTGACTGACGTGAGAAAGCACACGCTGACGACGGTGATGACGAAGACGACGACGATGATGGTATCTATCTCTCTCCGCCAATGAATGAGGACCTCAGCCCCTTCATTCTTTATCCAAAAAGATGCTTCTCTGAAGCTCATTTCACCTGGACTGTCTGGAGGCTGCAAGCCTCTGTCCTTCATCCCCACCAGCTACAACTCCCCACCACGTATAAGGGGGTGGAGATAAACGGGGAGGTGAGAACCCACCCACCCTCAGTAATTGTGACTAAGAACAAACTCGGCAGACAGGTGTTAGCAGGGCCTTTGCAGGCAGGTGTAACTCAGGCGCCCAGGGGCACGCACCTGCAGGGAGACCCTACCAGTCCCCTGGGGGGATCTCCAACTGCTTTAGAAGCAAAGTCGAGATCGGAGTGGTGAGGATGGGATGGGGAGCTTCGCTAGACTCTCTGAAACAACTGTGCTGGGGGCTGGGGGTGCGGGGACGCCTTCTCTTTAGCTTCCCAAAGCAAACGGTGGAACACAGATCAGCCTGTTCTCCATGGTTCTCGCTATGAGCGCCCCCTATGGGAAGATGGGTGGTCACACAGGAACCGAGTCAAGCGCCCTCCTCCACCACTGCCCACCGGCCCCTTGGTTGTTGGAGCCAGAGAACCAGCTTGCATTGCCCAGGTATGGGGAAGCCCACCAAGAAGGAGGTCGGAGGAACAGGGGATGAACCTGTTCACCCCACCGCCCCACTGATGGGGAATGGACTCTTCTAGACTCTGCCCCTGCCTTTGTTAGCCTCTCCCAAGCGCATGCCCGCCACCCCCAGGGATGACAGATTTATTTAGGAGGCAGCTCCCTTTTGAGTTGGCTCCTACGGTCCAGCTTGCTCATGACCTGCGTGATGTCCACTGTGTTGGCTGCTTCTCGAGCCTTGGCTTCCTCCTCCAGCTGCCTCAGGATGACGGGGCTCGGGCTGGAGCGCAGGTGACGCCGCATAAAGGGCAGGCTGGAGCTGGAGAGAGAGGCGGCATCGGCGGTTAGCAGAAAGCCACGCGGCCTGCCCAGCAGTGACCTCGCAACACCTCTTTAACTTGGTGTGGAGGAGGGCCTGGGAGGCCAGCGTCTGGACCTGCCCCCTCCTTCCGGTGAATTCAGGTAGGGTCTCAGAGGGGTGTCCGACCCTGGCTTTTTCTCTTCCCTCGGAGCCTGGGACCAGAGTAGCCCCGCTGACACTGGATTTTAGGCACAGGAGAGGCTGCTGGGAAGGGGATGGCTGGGCACACCCTCAGCCTTGGGAGTCAGCCTGTCATCTAGCGTCCTGGGGGCTCTTCCTGGGAGCAGGAGCAAGGCGGGTGAGGTACTGGACGCCCACGGGTTCTGGCCTCAAGGAAGAGCTGGGGCATTTGTTTTCAAACGCCAAGGTTCCGGGAAGGAGGGAAGGAGGGGGCTGGTTGAGAGCTCAACGGGCGGGGGAAGGGGAAAGGCCTGAAGTGCGTTAGGGAGCTGTTGGCACTGTGCCCATGCACCCAGTGAGTCAGAACCTTCCACAGACGTTAAACACGGGTTCCTGGGACCAACTCTCTCGACCACTGTCCAGGGGGCCAGGACAAAGCTCCACGTGTCTGACGGCTGCAGGGGACAGTGAGCAGCCAGGCCACCCACAGGCGTGGAAACAAGCATCCTAGCAGCAGCGAGGACCTTAAAACCGAGGCCGTCCCCAAATCCCCATCGAGCTCTGCGTCTGCTCTGGGGGGGAAGAGGCTTCCTAAGAGCAGGCCACGCCTGACTCGGGCCCCCCAGCCCTGCAGGGAAGGCCCAGAGCTCGGTTTCACTGGCTCTGGAAGAAGAACGTGTTATGATGGTCTTATTCCCGAACATCACAGAACAAACACACCCCAACGCCCAGGTGCAGGCAGAGCCTCGCCCGCCCGGTACAAAAGCATTCCCGCCCGCGTGCGTGGCCTCTCTCGGCCGCGGAGACAGCAAGGCCTAGCCATGCCTGCGGTCCAATGCCAACCCAGCTGGAGAGCCCGGCTCATTTCTCAGGTCTGCCCCAACCAGGGTATCAGGAGAGAGCACCGTGAGACTCCCCAGTACTTCCCGGCAGAACTGGTGGGACAATTAGACCCTTTCTCGTGGTTGATAGGAGAAGCTTTCAAGTCCCCAGGAAACTGAACTGCCTTCCATCCCTATAAGCCCAGAAGAGCACCACCAAGACCTCCTTGCTCTCCTTTTCCTAGCAGCGCCGTTATCCTCAAGAATAAAACCAAGTTGGGTTTTGTTAAAGCTCCTTTGATAACGGCTCCGGTCCAACCACCGTTCCTTTGAATGGACTGGAGTCGCCGGAGAAGAGCTCAGCATGGGCTGAGCCGCAGACGGAGACATTCCCGACAACGCAGGGACAGGTCACACGCGGCGCTGGGAATACCCGCGCCAAAGTCGCCCGTCTTTGTTCAAGCTGCCACGCGGTTACTCTTTTGAATCTTCAGTCCTCGTAGATCAGAGAGCTTCAGCCAGGGTGCCACAAGAATTTTTAAAACATGCAATACCTGACTGTTACTCGGGGGTCCTGACCTCTTTTCTCGTCTTAGATGGTCAAATAAAAAAAATGACAGCAGCCAACACAACAATGGCCATCTGGTGTGAATGTCGTCTTGAAACATAAATATTTAGGTCATATAATAGAGTTGTATCTTCTTGTTTTTGTTAATCCTCACCCGGGGATATTTTTCCATTGATTTTTTTGAGAGAGTGGGAGGAAGGGAGGGAGGGAGGGAGAGAAACATCAGTGTGAGAGAGACATATCAATTTTATGCCTTCCACACAACCCCAACCAGGGCCAGGAATCAAACCTGCAACCCAGATACGTGCCCTTGACTGAAATCGAACTCAAGACCCTTCATTCTTTAGGCTAATATTCTAACCACTGAACCAAACAGACCAGGGCCAGAGTTGCATCTTATTGGTCACGTCGCATAATCAAGTTGCGTCTGATTGGTTAATTCTTGGTACCGCAAATCTTTATATGCAAGTATAGGCTCCTGACTTTTTTTAAACTCACTTTGGAGCAAAAAGGGTAGGTGATTACTATTATCTTTTTACTTTTTTTTTTTGTAAACCAATCAAAATTATACCTTTTTATTTTGGTCGGATCAGCAAAAAATTTATTTTTTAGTATGTAGCAGAATTGTAGTAATGAGTTTACTTGTGACATGAGGTGAAAAAGGTTGAAAATCGCTGCCATAAAGGTTTCTTTGTCCCAAAAGAGCTCAAACCACCCCTCAGAACATTCTTTCATGCTTTGAGCCAGGGCTCTGGCGGATGAGATGATGTACATCTCCAGTGAGGAAGGTGACAGTGGGGGTGCTAATGGACACTGGGGGGTCCCCAGTAATGCTTAGAATGTCACTGTTTCCCCTAACAGTCGGCCATTTTGGGGGAGCAATCTGCTATTCTCCAGAAAGTCTGAGGACATTACAAAGATACAAGCATGAGCCCTGGCAGGTTTGGCCCAGAGGGTAGAGCATCAGCCTGCAGACCAGTGAGTCACAAGTTCGATTCCCGTCAAGGTCACGTACCTCGGCTGCAGTTCATCCCCAGGTCATGCAAGAGGCAGCTAGTCAATGTGTCCCTCTCACAACGATGTTTCTCTCTCTCTATCTTCCTCCCTCCCACTCTCTTTGAAGATAAATAGAAAAATATCCTCGGGTGAGGATTTAAAAAAAAGATGCACCCTGGCCGGTTTGGCTCAGCAGTTAGAGCGTTGGCCTGCGGCCCATAGAGACCGGGTTCGGTTCCCGCTCAGGGCACGCAGCTTGGTTGCAGTTTGTCCCCGGCTCTGGTGGGGTCATGCGGGTGGCAGCCACTCGATGTGTCCCTTTCACATCGATGTTTCTCTCTCTCTCCCTCCCACTCTATCTGAACAAAAAATGAAAAAATGTTCTCAGATGAGGAAAAAAAAAAAAGATGCAAGGGTGTGGCTAAATTAAGCCCCATACATGGGTTTGGAGGTGGTGTGGCAATTAATAAACCTGGTGAGTTGCAAAAATAAAAATAAATATTTTAATTAAAAAAAAACAACAACAACGAGTGGCTTCCATTTGTAGTAAGTGTAATTATGAGTCTGATAAGACTCTCTCAAACCAGCACAAGGCGAACAAAACTCACAGGCAGTAATGACTACGGCAGTCCTACTAGGGGGACTTCAGGGCATTCTGAAGCCAATGGGGCAACCACATCTTGAGAAATACTTCCCAGTCCCTAACACTCTCATCAGACAAGCATCTCAACCACGGCCTTCGGGCTGAAAGAGACCCTCGCTTCCCTGTAAAGAAAGCGGCAGGCAGCCAGCCATGCCGGGCCATTCCACTTGCCTTCTCTTGGTGGTTTCCTGAGGCTCGATGGCTTTGGCCAGCATCTCCTTGTAGATCGGGGACTTCAGATAGCGAGCATAAGAATCCTAGCGGAACAAGAGAAGAGGAGTAATTACGAGAGAAGTGTCAACGCAAATGAACACACCGCCGTTTTCGGGCCCTCCCCCAGCCATCAGTGGCCAGTTTCAAAGAACCGAAAGGCATGTCGGTGTGTGTCCAAAGCAACGGACCTCAAGTGCAGTCCCCGGACCAGCAGCCCCGGGTGCACCCCGCAACGTGCTGGAAATAACACTCTCAGGACCACCAGACCTACTGACTCAGGAATGCTGAGGGCGGTGCGGTCTGAGTGGTAATAAGCCTCCAGGTGATCCTACTGCCCTTCAGTTAGCTCATCGGAGTCCATAGCCCCCACCCAAATCCACATCGGGGCTTCTCCAGTGAAGCAAGCACGACACAGAGGTTCCTGCAGCCAACCTGTCCCGCCCAGCACCCCTTCCAAGGAAATGAGCAGCCATGAGCATGGAGCCCGCTTCAAGCCCGCTAAACCTCCCTTTCTGCCCTGAACGTGGGTATCGAGGCCAGAGAAAATCAAACAACGACCCAGACCCAGATTGCTCCTGTGTGGGTATTTCCTGGGACCCTGGACAGGCTCAGCTCTGTCACCTCATGAATGCTTGCTACTTCCAAGCACACTCCACACCACTCTGCTTGCCACAAACACGGAACAGAGTCCACAGCAACAACCGGGGACTAGGGGTGTTCCCTGCATGTTGTACCATGTTAAAGACTGAGCGGCAGCAGCAAACGTTATGAGACCTGCAGAGAACCTGGGAATAGGGACTGGGGAACCACTGGGTCGTGCTGAGTTTGTGATCCAGGAACGTGACCTGTAGTGACACAGAGTCCAATAAGCATACAGGGGTAGGCAAAAGTAGGCTTACAGTTGTTCATATGGAAAAAAGACATGCAGCCCTGACCAGTTTGCTCAGTGGTTAGAGTGTCAGTCCATGGACCAAAGGGTCTCGGGTTTGATCCCCGGTCAAGGGCATGTACCTGGGTAACAGGTTGATCTCCAGCCTTGGTCAAGGTCATGTGGGAAGCAACCAATCGATGTGTTTCTCTCACATTGAGTTTCTCTCTCTCTCTCTTTCTCTTCCTCCCTCCCTTCCACTCTATCTCAAAATCAATGGAAAAATATCCTCAAGTGAAGATTAACAAAACAAAAAGGAAAAAGGTTATGATTATTGCTATGGTTTTATTAACTCTGTGTTTCACATACTTACAACATTAGCTTCCTTTGCCTCACCCCTGTGTATATCATTATTAAGTTCCCTATGTTTCTGTTCTGTTCTGGCTAGTAGCTGGCCTCCCTGGCTGTCTCCCTAAAAGGTTGTATAGAAGCCACACTTTTAAGAATCCAAACGTATTTTAAAATATATGAAGGAAGACCATTACTAAAGAAATCCTGCTATAAATCTTTTTGTAAGGTAAACACAGAAAACCCCACTGATGGAAAATGAATGGTAAGAAAAAATGGCTAATCTGGCGTGATGAAAATTTTACATGATTACATATTTTCAAAGCAAAGTAAAACTATTTCTTTCCAATACAATAAATATAAGAGAATAAGTAAATGAAATAAATAAGGGAAACATTTAAAAATGACATTCACACAAACCTACATCATGTAACAAAGTTTCTAGAGACACTTTGCCAACGAGGTGTTGGAATAATTGCCCAATGAGGTGTTCAGGCTACTAAAGAAGTTTCGTTGGGCATGACACAGAGTAGCAGCCATACTAGACCACCCCTTGAAGGCTAAGTCTGAGCCCCAAATTCTCATTTCTTAAGAAAGTGATTGAAATAGTATTGTAATAGCTGTGTATAGTTCCAGGTGGGTACTGGAAATATCAGGGGAACTTATCTAACCATGATGCTGTGTACGTGAAACTACCACAAAACAATATTGAATGTAAACTGTAATTGAAAAATAAATTTCCCGTAAAAACCAAAACAAAATTTTAATTAAAAATAAATAAAACGTAGTGATAGATACTATGGAACTTTCATATCAAAGAAAGGAAAGGAAATGGAATTTTTTTAAGTGATTGATTTTCTCTCAGGTTCCCCTTTAAAAAAACAGACAAACAAAATAATGTCCTGGAAATTCCCACCATGCTCACTTGTTACTGATAATCCAGAGGCTGTCTGAAGTCTCACGGTTTTATCATTACATACACGAGACCCTCCATGGGATACATCTGCTGAGGGCCAGGGCCACCAGAACTGCCACCCATGTACTGTAGAGGGTAAGGGTTTCCACCTTTGGACTCAGGCTCCACCTCTGGGGAGACCCTGAGCAAACCATTAGCCTCTGGAGAAGTAAGTCCTACCTCGTGGGCTGATACAAAGCTCCGCGCTTGGCACAGTGACTACACCTCGTAAACCCTCAGTAAATAATAGTTCTTAGAGCAACACTATGGTTACTGCTATGTAACTGCAGGCTCGATCCCCAGTAGGGGGCGTGCAGGAGGAGCCAATGTGATGCTACTGCAGAGGGAGGGGCCACTGGGACGCAGTGGCCTATGGGACATCTTCCCCAGCCAGCGAGCGTGGGGGCTCAAGGCAGCTGCAGCCCAGGGGACAGATGGAAGGGAGGGCTAACAGTTCTGCATCCCAACACCAGCAAAGCAGTAGCCACATATCTAAAAAACCTCCCAGGTACCTGGGGAGAGAAGGGCTCCTGGACCCGAGGACCACCAGCAAAGACCCCTCCTACCTTCTTCATGAGCATGTAGATGTGGGTCTGCGCAGCATCCAGCACGTAGCGGTGGGGGTGCCTCAGCCCCTTGACCGTGATGTCCATGGTTTTGCCATCTATGTTGATCCACCGCCTCGCCCCTGGGGCCAGGAATAGCCTGGGCAGGGAGGGAAATGTTAGCAAAAGTAGCTAAACCAAGTCAGTTAGTAAGAATCTTACAGCTGCTGCCTGGCTGGTGTGGCTCAGTGGATGGAGCATCATCCCATGGACTGAGAGGTCCTGGCTCAATTCCTGGTCAGGGCACAGGGCCTGGCTGCAGGCTCCATCCCCAGTAGGGGGCGTGCAAGAGGCAGCTGATCGATGTTTCTCTCCCACATTGATGTTTCTATCTCTCTCTCCCTTCTCTCTCTCTCTCTCTCTCTCTCTCTCTCTCTCTCTCTCTCTCTCTCTCTCCGTGTGTGTGTGTGTGTGTGTGTATAAAACAGCTGCTTGAGAGGGAGGCAGTGATATGACCGGGTGTCCCGAGTTGAGAGTGGTCCCTCTGTAGGAGATATGAAGAGTTTGAACAGGTTGCCAAGCAACGTTTCTTAGAAGCAAGAAAACAACCATGCAGGTACTGGGAACACGACCGTTTAACTTTGGGTTTCCTGACGTCTGGGAGAGAGCAGACAGGGATGAGCAGCCCTAGCCACTAGGGCCAAGAGCCCAGCCTCCATCTCCTTATTCCCAGGACTCAGGCTGAACACCTCCACACAGGTGCTCCGGGCGTCTGCTCTCCTTGGCCCAGTCTAGACGTGTTTGGAGATGGACCTCAATGCTGAGTTGGGAGGCAACCCATGATCCCAGGACCGAGAGGTTTGATGACCTGGGCATCCTTGCCAATGACCCCAAGGAGAACCCGAACTCGGCCACATTCCTGAGTCCTGCAGCTCCACCTGGGATTTCGGGAGCCCCCCGGTATTCCCCAATCTGACATGAGGGTTAGAAATACATGGATATTGTGCCCCACCACTAAACTAACTGCACAAGAAAATCTGGAATGTGGACTCAGACGGGTAAGTGGGGAGCCGGGGAGGAGGAAGGCTGATTGGGGGGGGGGGCAGCATGGTCCCTGCAGCATATTTCTGGAACTAGGAGTTGTGCGGGGTCACTGTGTGCGAGACCTTCCAGGACGGACAATCACCCTCCCTCTCCCCTGGTGCACGGTTTCCCCGTGAAAGGAGGGAGGCTAGCGTTTGAGAAGGCTCCGGAGCCTCCAAGCAGGACACCTCAAGCTCTCTCTCCAATGTTGTCAGCACCTCTCTGAACACGGGGACGGTCCATTCTGAGGAAGGACACCAGAGGTCCAAAGGGACAAGTGCTCAGAGGCGAGGGCCACCGGCGGCTGCGGGACGGCTGGTCCCAGCCCAGCATGGGGGCTGGGCTTTGGAAGCCACAGCTGAGCATGTGAGACTGAACTAAGTGCCCTGGACCCTCAGAGCCCACGATGGGCGTCCTCTGTGGCCAGTGCAGAGAGGCCCAGCAGGGATGCGACCAGGGCAAGACATGAGCACCCTCCGGCCGGCGGAGGAGGGCAGGGCGCAGACTTCAGCTGCGGTGCACCTGGGCAGTGCTGGTGGCCTCGTGTCCCCCCCCCTCTACCAGCCGCCAGGAGCAGGACCGGCCCTTCTGAATGGACATGCTCGGCTTCTGGGTAACTTGGAGGGAAACTGGGAGGAGAGGCCGCCTGGAAAGGGGAAGACGCGTTGCTACGCTGAGCTAGTGGGGACCGGAGTCTGTCATCGCCCACATCTGTACCCCAAGCTGGGCTCAGTCCTGGACACTTGGGACACTCCCTTCCCCTCATGGGCCTACTTTCCTAGGAGGGCCTGAGGAATAGGTTTTACCCCCTCACCTCTCTCTCTCTCTCTCTCTCTCTCTCTCTCTCCCCGCACGTGCATACATGGCTCCTACCTCTCAGGAGACCTAAGGGGGTTTAGACAAAGCACTGTACTTCAGGGCAGCCTGCTTTTTAAATTCCTCAGCACATTTCCCGGGGACCAAGGGGGCCCTGGGGCGGCAGCGGTGAGCGCTCATAGCCGGACGTGGACACCCGGGGTGCGGGGCAGGGAGATGCTCCAACAAGGCGGCTAATCCTCACTTGTAAATCTCCTCCGCTTTCTCCTTGACCTTGGACTGATCTCCATACTTCAGATCCTCGCAGGCTTCCCAGAATCCCAGGTTCTCTCCTGCACGGGAGGAGGGCGTCCACGGAGACCAACACCAGACAGGAAACAAGTGGGGAGAAGAAAGAGAAGAAACAGGTCAACGGGGTAGACTCCTCCTTTTGCACAACGCGCCACGGCCCATGGTGGGGCTGGCAAAGCAGCGAGCGCCACGCTGACTCCTGGGCCCGGAGAGCGGTGTTCGCCCAGTGACTGCCTCCCCCGTGTTCTTGGAAATGCACTGGACTGGCACGGGACCTGGCACGGGACTGGCACTGGACTGGCACGGGACTGGCACGGGACCTGGCACCGCCAAGTTCGCAGCCACGTGTGTCTATGGCTATCACTGCTCTTTCCCCAAGGACACAGCTCAGCTCACACAACCCCAGAGGCGGCCGGGTCCCTTTGTCCCGGGAGTCAGCTGCAGCAAATACGCTTGAGCAAGTTCGCATGCGATCGGGCTGGCAAACGTGCGCTGCTCTGTGATAGGTTTTCTTCACGAAGGGCCCCGTTTACTCTGCTCGTGTGCAGTGACTGCGGGTGGCATCTGCCTCCTTTGTGCACAGGGATCGCATCCTTGGGGGCCCCTCACAGGGTCTATTCCAGCCCAAGGGCCTCACAGAGGCCACTCAAGTTGTGATGCTGATAGACACACTCTTAGGGAAGGCCTGGCCCCCGGGGGCACTTAACGGAGGGTCAGTCGTCTGAGCCAGAGAAACTCGGCTCCTCTGGGCCCAGAAAAAAGCCAGATGTCTCCTTCCTAATGACCCTCTAACCAGTTCTCCCGGCACCCAGCACAGGGTAAATACCTTGGTACAGTCAGCCCAGGTGGCAACGCTGGCCTGGAAAGACAAAGGTGATCCTACCAATGGGACGGCAAGAATCTGTCTGTGCATGTGTGCATGGATGTGCATGTGTACGTGTGCATATGTGTGTGTGCATGTGTGTGTGTGTGAGTCACAGAACGCCTGAGTGTGGGAATGGAAGGAGAAGACCCTTCCGCTCCTCTCACAGCAGCGTCTGGAAAGGCCCGGGTGTTTTAGATCGAAAAGGCTGCACAGTTCTGAGCCAGTCGACATCTGTCCCAGAACTCGGCGGAGGCCCGTCCTCTTCGGCCCGAACTTCGGGCTGGCCTTGACGGCAGGCACGAGGAAACGGGGCGCAACCCGTCTCGCATCACGGGCAGTGCGGACCGTCTTGCCCAGGGCAAGAAGCAGCTCGTCGCTTCAGGTTAAAATTAAATGAGCAGTTCACACCAGCCAAAAGGCGGACACAACCCAAATGCCCATCGATGGAGGAATGGATCGGGAAGACGTGGTAGGCGCATACGTGCGATGGGATGTTATCCCACCTCAAGAAGGAACAAAGTTCTGATGCAAAGTACAACCTGGATGACCCTTGAAGATATGGTGCTAAATGAAATAAGCCAAACACGAAAGGACAAATATCATATTCTTCTTCTACTAGGTACCTAGAAATAAAAATTCATAGACAAAATGTAGATGAATTGTGGTGCTTGCCAGGAGCTAGAGGGAGGGGGGATGAGGGGTTAGTGTTTAATGGGTACAGAGTTTCAATTGGGGAGGATGGAAATAGATGCTGGGGATGGTGGCACAACAATGTGAATGTACTTAATGCCACAGAACTGTGCACTTAAAATGGTAAATTCTGTCTCAGGAATCCTTGACCACAACAATGTCAATGAGCATGCAAAAGTGTGTGCACGAATGTTCCTGGCAGCATGATTCATAGTAACCAACAAGTTGAAACAACACAAATGTCCACCAGCTGCTGAATGGATAAACATAAGGTAGTGTATCCACACAATGAAATATTATTTAGTCACGAAAAGGAACGAAGCAGTGTTTTTTGCTACAACATGGATGAACCATGAAAACACTACATGCTGAGTGAAAGAAGACAGAAGGACCTGTTTTATTATTCCACTTATATGAAATGTCCAAAATAAGCAAATCCATGAAAATAGAAGTCGATTAGTGATTAACTAGAGCTGGGGGGTAGAGAGGAAGTGGGGAGCAGAGGAAAAGAACAGGAAATGACTTCTATCGGGGTTTCTTTTTGAGGCGGGGAAAATGTCCTAGAATTACATAGTGGTGATGGTTGCACAACTTTGTGACTAAACTAAAACCATTGACTTGTGCCCTTTGAAAGGGCATGTGGATCATGGCATGTGAATTATACGGTACATGAATTTATGGTATGTGAATTATATCTCCATTTTAAAATGTCTTCAATTAAATGAGCAGACTGATGATTCACCTGCCCTGTTCGTACCTGCAGCCTCAGGAATGTCATGAGGGGATCACCAACCCCACTATTTTGCTAATGCAGGGAAATGTTTTCCACAGATTTTGTTACTAAGGAATGCATGGGTGGGATAAACTCAGGGTGTGGTTTGTGACTTTGCCACCAGATGGCACCCTATCCACTCATTCGCCAGTTGCTTCCCTCCGGTGCAAAAAGCTCTCCCCTTCCCCATCAGGGCAATTAGGCTTGATCAGAGAGGAGGACTTTCAACAGTCCAGATTATAATGTAACATGTTGCATCAAGAGATCAAACAGGCTAATGGCCTGTCGTTGGGGTTAGTTTCAGGAACAACCCCACAGACAGCTGTCTTGGGGAATAAGCAGCTGAGTGCTGAGGCTCAGATGGAATGTCTCCCAGAGCTGGGGACTTTGTCAGGAAGTAAATGAACCCCACGGAAGTAAATATCTCAGTACAAGTGTGGAAGCCAATGGAATGCCCAGCCCAATGAACTTGCCCTGCTCTGACCTTTGGTTTCCCAGGCGTGTCTCAGTGCAAGTGTCTACCAGGATGAGACAGCAGAGATGGGATCCACCTAAAATGTGGCCCCACCCCTTCCATTCACAGCCCCACCCTCCTAGCCCCTGATGGAAGCAGAGCAGGGGAATTGCTCTCATTTGTGGCCACATACTCGAATCACCTGGGGGGTTTTCAAACCTTGGGAAATTCCACCCCAAATAAATTAAAAAGAAGCCTCTGGGGAGGGGGCCCAGGCACGCCGGTTTTAAACTGCCCCCAGGTGAGTCGAGTGTGCGCCAGGGCAGAGAAGCACCGAGCTGGGGCAGAAGGAGAAAGCGTGCTTTATGTATGCCTCCCTCCCTGTCCGATTCGCCAGAAGCCGCCCAGCGTCCGGGCGCAGCGGGTGACCCAAGGATCAGGGTAAGGAAGTGGGGGTGGCCGGAGGGGATAGGGTGCTTGGAAACGCGAGTGACATTCATGTGAACGCATGAAATTCTCCCCGCAACTGTGAGGCCCCTTGGGAAATCTATGCTCGACATTACAGTAGCGCTTCTAAAAGTTAAATTTTTTTTTTAAGTCAAAGACCCACCACTGAATTCTTTCTTGAGAAAGTACTGGAAGCTCTGGCGCCCCTTGGGGTCTCGAATCAATTCACTGAAGTTGATGGCCCACCGCTCCACGCGCATCTTGGTTGGGATTTCCACCCTGCAGAGAGGACACTGTATAAATGCACCAGACACTCGGTGGGGGGAGGGGCTGTGCCAGGTGGTGGCCTGGACTGGGGTACGGGGCTTCAGCTCCCTGCTGACCTCCGTTAACCCACTGCCAAGCCCCACCCAATTCTCCCCACCCTCATTTCTGCACAAATGTACAATCCAAGCAATCACTTGTTAGGACCCCAGAGCCTCATCTGGAGCTGATGGCCCCAAAGGTGAGAAGGACGGACGGCCACAGCGGGGAGCCCATTCTCTTGGCCTTCTGGGCACAAGAAAGGGAATGCCTGCTCCAGGGCCCGTGGGGACCGGTCAGCAGAGGGTCAGGCTGCCACCCCAGGCCAGGAGAGAATTCCGGAAGAGCACTGGTGGTGGGTGCCACCCCTCAATGCCATCCTTCAATGCCTGTCACCCACCCCACAGTGGCCCCTTCACGAGGACAGCCGGGCATCTGGTGGGAGTTGCTGGTTCTTGTACCTGCCTCCAGGCCACCCGCCCCCAGGGAGACCTCATTTGTCGTGTTCACACCCTCCCAGGGCTTCCTCCTAGATGCAAGTCCCCCTCCACTTCCCCTTCCACTTCCCCATCCACTTCCCCATCCACTTCCCCTTCCACTTCCTCCTCCACTTCCCCCTCCACTTCCCCTTCCACTTCCCCTTCCCCCTCCACTTCCCCATCCACTTCCACTTCCACTTCCCCCTCCACTTCCCCTTCCACTTCCCCTTCCCCTTCCCCCTCCACTTTCCCTTCCACTTCCCCTTCCCCTCCCCTTCCCCTTCCCCCTCCACTTCCTCCTCCACTTCCCCTTCCCCTTCCCCATCCACTTCCCCTTCCACTTCCCCCTCCACTTCCCCTTCCCCTTCCCCCTCCACTTCCCCCTCCACTTCCCCTTCCCCTTCCCCCTCCACTTCCCCTTCCACTTCCCCTTCCCCTTCCCCCTCCACTTTCCCTTCCACTTCCCCTTCCCCCTCCCCTTCCCCTTCCCCCTCCACTTCCCCTTCCCCTTCCCCATCCACTTCCCCTTCCACTTCCCCCTCCACTTCCCCTTCCCCTTCCCCCTCCACTTCCCCCTCCACTTCCCCTTCCCCTTCCCCCTCCACTTCCCCTTCCACTTCCCCTTCCCCCTCCACTTTCCCTTCCACTTCCCCTTCCCCCTCCCCTTCCCCTTCCCCCTCCACTTCCCCCTCCACTTCCCCTTCCCCTTCCCCCTCCACTTCCCCTTCCACTTCCCCCTCCACTTCCCCTTCCCCTTCCCCCTCCACTTCCCCCTCCACTTCCCCTTTCCCTTCCCCCTCCACTTCCCCTTCCACTTCCCCTTCCCCTTCCCCCTCCACTTTCCCTTCCACTTCCCCATCCACTTCCACTTCCACTTCCCCCTCCACTTCCCCTTCCACTTCCCCTTCCCCTTCCCCCTCCACTTTCCCTTCCACTTCCCCTTCCCCCCCTTCCCCTTCCCCCTCCACTTCCCCCTCCACTTCCCCTTCCCCTTCCCCATCCACTTCCCCTTCCACTTCCCCCTCCACTTCCCCTTCCACTTCCCCTTCCCCTTCCCCCTCCACTTTCCCTTCCACTTCCCCTTCCCCCTCCCCTTCCCCTTCCCCCTCCACTTCCCCCTCCACTTCCCCTTCCCCTTCCCCCTCCACTTTCCCTTCCACTTCCCCTTCCACTTCCACTTCCACTTCCCCTTCCACTTCCACTTCCCTTTCCCCTTCCCCTTCCCCTTCCACTTTGGTGTTTTGAAAGGCCTCCTTCCCTACCCGTCTCGGGACAACCCTTCCTGGCCAGGTGGCCTTGCCTTCTTCTCCCCGGAGAGCAGAACTCTGCACAGCCTTGTCCACAAGGAGATTCAGGCTGTCCCTCTGATCTGATAACTGGGAGACAGGCACAGACTCCGGAAAACCATCCTAATAACTAGAGCCCCCAGAGCGGGAGGGAAGACTCCCCACAGGAGGCGGTTCCAGAGTCTTCTGCTCTGTGATTGACACCCCGGGTGAACGCCCTCCTCACCATCAGCTCCCATAGTGAAAGGGCTGTCCAGCTATGCCTGCTCACCTGGCTGGATCTGGGCTAGCTGTATGTTCCTCACACGGGTATGATGCCCTCGGCTGTGTGTGGTCTTAAACTCACACCAGCCCATCATCCCCACTCCCCCACCTCCACCTTCCCCTCTGACTTAACATTTACACCCTTCTCCTCTTTCCTGCATTAGCTCACACTCTCCCTCAGCATTACCACCCTTTGCCCCTCTCCCAAACAACCGATGTATGCAGGACCGGTTAGCAACAACGACCATTCAAAACGCACAGACAGATCAAAAGAGCGAGCAGCACAATCACCAAGGCGGTGTTCGAGCCCTGGGACCTAGTCTGCCACTCATTAGACATCCAAGATGCAAAGCCCTACAGATAAGTGTTCTCTTTTCAAAAACAATATATTGTTCAACACTGAGTTACCACCTGACCCAGCAGTTCCACTCCTAGGCACACACCCAAGAGAAATGAAGACATGTCCACACAAATCTCGGGACATGAGTGATCACAGCAGCATCCATCATAATAGCAAAAAAGGCCGAGGCAACCCATAGGTCCATCAGCTGATGAATGGAAAAAAACAAAATGTGGTATATCCATACAATGAATATTATTCAGCCATAAAAAGGGACTGAGTACTAATACATGGTATAACACGGATGAAGTGTGAAAGCGATGTGCTAAGTGAAAAAGCTAATCATAAAAGACCATGTGTTGCCCTGTCTGGTTTGGCTCAGCAGTTAGTGCATCAGCCTTGAGTCTTGGGTTCGATTCTGGTCAAGGGCATATACCTTGGTTGCAGTCTGGTCCCCGGCCCTGGTTGGGGTTGTGCAGCAGGCAACCAATCGATGTGTCTCTCTGGCATCGGTATTTCTCTCGTTCTCTCCTTCTCTCTCCCCCTCCTCCCTCTATCTGAAGATAAATGGAAAAATATCCTCAGGTGAGGATTGAAAAAAAAAAAGACCACATGTTACATGATTCCATTTGATGAAAGATCCAGAATAAGCAAACCTAAAGAGATGGAGGTCGTCCAGTGGTTGCCAGGAGCTGGAGGAATACTGTTGGGGGTGGGGGAGGTGCTAGCTAAGGAGTTCGAGAGCAAGGCTTCTCACCTGGGTAATGAAAATGGTTTGAAATTGTTTGTGGTGGCGATTGAACAACTCTATGAATATAGTAAAAAAAAGGATTGAATTGTACGCTTTAAATGGGTGAATTGTATGGCAAACGAATAACTCAAAAAGCTATGTTTAAATAACCAATATATCGAATACATACAATTTAGCATTTAAATCCCAGAACTGGGTGTCATCTGTTATCCAGGGATTACTAGGGAGGCAGCCGGACATGATGGCGTCATTGGACGAAAACTGCTCACTGTATTTGACGATCCTGAAAAGCAAATGGAAAATGATTTCCTAGAAGTTCAACACCCAGGAGACTAAGTCAATACTCAGGTCGACTGACCAGCCTGTCCTCCTCTTCTTACCAATTTAGTTGCCTACTTAGGACCTGCACTCAGATTGGCAGGTATTTGACAAAAATCTGTCCCCATTCTAGTTGTGAAATGAAATGTTGTCTCCCAACCCAGTCCTGTTTTAATTTCTCTGTATCTGTTTAATTTAAAATGCAGGCTCTTGACATTGTATCATGACACTAAACACTGTGTGTCTCTCAAATAATGTCCTAGTGGGTCAAGGTACCCTGAACATTCAATAAACCAACCATAAATGTCCAATGTATCCTGATTTTAAATCCAAAATTAATCGTGGACATTTCGTCTACACTGATCCATGAACATGACCCCTGTGGCCCTGGTTAATCTGAATGGGTAATGCGAGGAGCACAGGCTGTCACGGATCCCCGTAGGGTCCAGTCCATGAGCTCTTCCATCATCCCTTCCACACAGTGGTGGAGTCCGAGAAAGAAGGCAGATGTGTACAGAACCTCACCCACCCCTGATATTACCTAACCCAAGATGAGGCCTGGAGACTCACACCAAGCGAACAACTAGTAACTTAACCCCCAAGAGACCTCTTTTGTCCCTTAGAGTTCATCGGGGTCTGAAGTCAGTCTCTGACTTCGCAAGTTTGCCTTAAAGCAAAAGTTCTCTTCTTGCCTATCTGCTGTCCAACCCTCAGCTGGACCAACAAATTAGGAACGTACCCTCCAAGGGACACAGAGGACTTCACCGTGGACCTCATTAAGGCCTGCTGGTAATACATGATCTGGAAGAGACACGGTCATTAGAAAATGTCCAACGGCCCACCCTTGAGTGTCACGCCCATTGCTATTTACAAGTGACCCCCAGAACTAGAAGCCATATACCCATCACAGCACCCCATTCCATTCCCTCAGGCCAGATGCCTCTGTACCAAGGGTTCAGGCCCACAGTAGATGGGTGACCTCAAACTCCCAATTAGGGGCCTCCTTCACCCATCATGTGTTGGTCTGGGAAAAGGCACCGAGTAACAATAATAATAGTAAAGTTCTAAGGAGCATTCAACCAACATATGCAGACAGATGGTTAGCCAAGGAGAGCTAACCTCGACAGCCAACGAGTACCAGGACTCTGTCTTGGGCCCTGGATACAAGATCTGCCAAAACAGGCAATACTCAGCCGAAGAGATTCCGAACAGCTCTGCAGGTGTGGGGGTGCAGACACCACAGCCTCTGCTCCCACGTCCCTCACACCTGTGCCTCCTGAAAGTGTCTCAGAGCCCGAGTCTCAGCACCAGCCCCACTCAGATCTCACGAAAGACACGTCGCCACTCTGCGCTGCCCATTCCTTGGCAAACAGTCCTCTGAACTTGACACACAGCTTTCATTTCATTACCAAGTGCAGAGCATAAAGCCAAAGTACATATAATTTGTCAGACGATTTAAAATCAAACTTCCCTGGAACCGGGAGACGCATTACCTCTTTTTTGACAGCAGTGATTGTTTGTTTCTGTAAAACAAAGAAACCAAAACCATTAAACAGACGGCGTTAAATCATTCCAGTTCAAAGGCCTATTTGAAAATAAAAATGCATTCCCCGTCAGGGAACTGCCCACTTCTTTTACTTAAAAGATAGAATTCTGCCCTGGTCGGTTTGGCTCAGCAGTTAGAGCGTCGGCCTGCGGTCTAGAGAGTCCCGGGTTCGGTTCCCGCTAAGGGCACGTACCTCGGTTGCAGTTTGTCCCCGGCCCTGGATGGGTCATGTGGGTGGCAGCCACTTAATGTGTCCCTTTCATGTCGATGTTTCTCTCTCTCTCTCTCTTCCTCTCCCTCCCTCCCACTCTATCTGAACAAAAAAGGGAAAAATGTCCTCGGGTGAGGATTAAAAACAAAAAAGGTTGAGTGTGGGATTGGTCCCCACGACTGTTGTGTCTACAGAACCACCTGCCATGGAATGAGAGAAAGATGGGGAGCCAGCTTGAGTGTGTGTTTGTTTTTCTCACAAGGCAGGGAGCCAAATGAATGGTGACAGTCATTCGTGGGGCACTCGTAACAATGTGACCGATACCACAAGTGGGGGAAACGTCACATTGCCAAAAATAAAGCATGCAATTAAAAGACTCCAGTTCGAAGAGAAAATAAAAAATACAAGACTCCAGACCAGCAGGCCCTGAACGCGGAGTCGCAGAGCTGCATACCCTGTGGGCGACCACGCCAGGCCCCGAGCTCAGAGGAGCAGGTTCACGCGGGGCATGAGCAGGGCAGCCTCCCGGCGTTGTCAGTTATGGCAGAGAAAAGACGGCTCCTGAAGGGACTCTGGGTTTGGGTTTCTGGAAACCGGTCAGACCTGACTCCAACTAAAATCTTCTACAATTGCCCATGCTTCCTTGGTACCCACTTTTCTGCAACTCTTGGAGGTTAGGGGATACCAATCTCCGTTTTCTTAAGTTTGGTTGTGTCCAGGGGCTGCCTGGTGCTGACTCGTATACTTCTAGTTGATCATCTGAACCCCTGGCTGCTTATATCCATGCTGCTCAACACAACCAGGTCTTCACTTGGAATGGAGTCAAAAGACCAAGGAAGACACTATTTTCCTTAGCCAGTTAGCCAAATAACTACTGGCCCCTGAGCCCACTGACAAGGGCGTGCGGGCCAGGAGGGTCCGATCTAGAATGTCACAGGCTCGTCTCTCCTTTCTCATCCATACTGGGTTTTAGTTTGCTTCGTCCGATTGCTTTTATGTAATTGCTTTTCACCGGAAATCCTTTTCCGGGGTGGGGAGGTGGAGAGAGGCAGTCAGGTAGGTAAAGCTCAGGTGGGGCTCTTGTTTTGGGCTCACACACACCCTGACTTCCTGTTCACAGCATTTATCACAGTTGTAATTATATATTTATTTGTGTGTGACTTTGCTTCATATACACATTACCCTCTCGGCACCCTTAGGAACAGAAGGACCATGTCTGCCTTCCCTGGCACAGTACCCGGTGCAGAGTAGATACTCAGTGAATATTACATATATGACAGCCGCCGTGTGCTCAGAGACCTGAACAAAATGGAGATCTATTCTAAGCTTAATAGACGATTTCTCTACTTAAAAAGTTGAAAACACTACCCAAATGCTCCAAATATGCTGGCAACCACACTGATTATTTGTTCCCATTCTGTCTCAACATAAGACACTGTTTTAGAAGACACGCAGTCCGAGTACAAAAAGACCCTGGGGCCACAGCAGATTTGCATACAAACCTAATATAGTCAGATTCTTCTGTTAGAGTCTGCCGAAACGGATCAAAAACGGTACCTACTGGTCTGTGCCCTCTGCTCAAAGGGGAAGCCGCACGGTTGGGTAACAAGAACCACTTGGCAATTAGTGCAAAGTAATTTACGCCTCTTGGGACCCTCACAACCCGGTAAGGGAGAGAGGTTTCACTATTCCGACATTCAGCGCGGAGACTGTCATAGGTTTTGGGCAACTTTTTCAACATCTGGTCAGTAAGAGGCTGAGCCAAGACTGGAACCTAGATCTGCCCTTCGCGAAACCGAGGATGGATCCATGAGAAACAGAAAATAGCTGCTCTCGGCCCTGTTTCCTCCTCGCCCTGAAGTGAGGACGATGCAAACTAGAATGACTCTGTCCCGCCATTTGAAGTAAAATTCAAACAAAAAGAGAGCTGGAGCCCCAACGCCGAGACGAAACACAAACACAGGAAACCCTTTAATTAACACTACTGCTGGTAACACTGACTCCCGGCTTCAAGATAAATAAGATCGGGGATCTAACGCACAGCATGCGACTATAATTAGCAACACTGCATTGTAGACTGGAAAGTTGTGAAGAGTGTGGATCTTCAATGTCATCAACACACGCACGCACACAATCATAAGCATGCGAGGTGATGGAGGTGCTCACTAACACTGTGGTAACATTTTGCACTATGTACATGTATCTAATCATCACATTGTATACCTTAAACTTACACGTGTTACCTGTCAGTAACACCTCGATGGGGGGGAGTGGGGAAGACAGTTATGATGGTCAGGATCACAGTTGTACTAGAATTGTGCTCCACAGCCAGCATCCTGAGCACCCTCCTTCAAAGTGCCTGCGACCCGACTTCCTGTCGGCCTGTTCTGTGGCCACGGGGCTCCTGAGTGGGCATCATGGCCACAATGAGCCAGGTTCTCAGTCTGCCTTGATGTCCTCCAGGCTCCACGGAGAACAGTCTTTGCCAAGTTGTTTCTAGTCTACCTATTGTGGTCTGACGCTGGCCTGAAATATTTCTTTCTGGGTCCAAAATCTCAGTCTTCAGGGTTTGAAATGTTTCCTATTTCTTTTCTTTTCTTTCTTTTTTTTTTTTTGTAGTACGTGCCCCTAGCGGGAACTGAACCCACGACTCTCTGGTCCGCAGGTCAATGCTCAACCGCTGAGCCAAACTGGCCAGGGCAAAAACGTTTCCTATTGTAATGCACTTCATTTGATGTTATTACCCTTTTAGGGCCCTGCTTCAGTGGTGCGGTCTGCTGTTGGGTTTCAGATTCCCAGAATCACCAGCTAGCTTCTGGGAGTCGGGCCTCAGCCAGCGCTCTTATAATAGGACTCACTGAGTCTGAGGTTCCCCACCTCCACCTTGGCGTGTCCGCGTGGACTTTCGCACTTATTTCTAGCTTTAAAAATAGCTGTCCATAGGATCAGCTTCCTGTAGATGAACACAGAGGGCATCTCCGTCCTTCTAGGGGTGTGTGGGTATATCAGGGCGTGGAGGCAAAGGTTATGGACTTCTCTAACAGACCGAGAGAAAATCTGACGGGGAGGTGGGGTGGGAGGAAGACTGGATTTGGGGATCAGACCAAGGTCAAAACCCTGGTTCTGTCTCTTATTGGTGACATGACTTTGGATGAGTCTTTCAGCACTTCAAGGCCTCTTTTTTTTTTTTTTTTTTCTCATTTGTAAAAGGAAATAGAAAAACAAGGAATTAAATGAGACAATAGACCAGTTGCTGGTATAATGTAGACTCAACAGATGGTGGCCAGTGACTTGGGGTTCAGATGCCGCTGCTGAGAACATGCATGGCATGGCTTTGGCCCTACTTGCAAGAGAAAACAGGTGCCCGTGCGATATTTGGGCCATCCTTATTCTCAAAGAGTTATTTGTGGTCTATCTGAAATTCAAATGTAACTGGGCATCCTGCATTTGTATTTGCCAAATCTCGTAAACCTATCAAAAGTATTACTTAGCCAAAGTCCATAAGAAACGTTCAAATTTAAAATAAAGTGACGTTATGAAACGCACACACACTTCTAAGCAATTCGAAGTAAACCACCTCATGATAAAAGAGGAAATAACATCTTTTTTCCCACCCTGGGATTCACGCACCAATCCCCTGCTTTCTCAGCAGCTGGCCCCCTGGAATGAGGTCACTTCTTTAGCCCTCATCTGGGTGACATCCTTAGTACAGTAAGATCCTCCATCTAAGGACTCTCCAAATGCTCTGCATTCCTGGAATTCTAACTTATTCTTTTCCGCTTGCAGATTTGCCCAAATAGGGACAGAGCTGGAGCTTGTTTACACAGCTCGGTGGCCGACTTGTTTGGCCTTGAAAGCCGGACACAGGCTGCAGACAATCGTCACAGGGCAGGAGGGGTCGGGCCCTGACCTGACAGACCCTCGGGCCACTGCGGACAGAAGGGCGGGAGCCCAGAACCGGGACAAGTAAGGACCCTGGGATCAGGCAGCCAAAACCAAGAGGGGAGGGGAGGGCAAGCACGGAGCAAAACCCAAGAGGGGGCGAACCCTGAGGAATCAGGGGACACAGGCATTGAGAGCAGAGAGAGAATCAAAGGTCAGAAGGCAGGAAGTTCAGAGCTGAGGTGAGTGCAAAGCAGGAGAGATGCGCTGGGAGGCAGGCAGCCAGCTGTGCACGGAGGCGAGGGGTCAAGGCTGCGACCCTCCGCGGTACCTGTCTGGCTCCGTACTTCCTGCTCAGGCACACGCAGGGCGGACTACACACTAGGCAGGGTATGGTGCAAATAAAAATGCAGGGCCCTTTGTGCAAAAACAGACAAACAAAAGTATTAATAATGTTAAGGTGGTGCCCTGGCCGGTTTGGCTCAGCGGTTAGAGCGTCGGCCTGCGGACTGGGGAGAGTCCGGGTTCGGTTCCCGCTAAGGTTGCAGTTTGTCCCTGGCCCCGGTTGGGGTCGTGTAAGTGGCAACCACTGGATGTGTCTCTCTCACGTCGATGTTTCTCTCTCTCTCTTCCTCCCTCTCTCCCTCCCGCTCTATCTGAAGACAAATGCAAAAATGTCCTCGGGTGAGGATAAAAATTTTTAAAAAAAGAATGTTAAGTTGGTGACAGTAGATCATTAAACCAAGGACAGGGCCCTCTGAGTGTGGAGCCATGGACCAGGAACAAGTCACTTGCAGTGGAACTGGCCCCAGATGCAGGACCCAAGGGTGTGGTTGGGAGGGAGGGAAAGTGGTGGTATGAGGGGACAGCAAGAGCCATAGAACTGGGAAGACCTAAATCCAAATCCAGGCTGGGCCAGCTCCGGCAACCCGCTCAGCGTCTCTGTTTCTGCTTTGCCATGCAAAGAAATGGACCTGACGTGCCATCTCCCACCAAGCTGCTGTGAGAATTTCATGAAATCCAGCAACGCTCCTAGAAGCCACAGAGGGACAGGAGAACACATGGGGCGGAATATGAACTGGGCTGGGGTGCCCACGAGCTGAGGTTCAAATCCCAGCTTCCCCATGCCCGAGCCACGTGTCTTGGCTGACACGCTTACTCAGCTGTGAAGAAGGCACGCCAATAGCCGTGACCTCCTAGGCTGCTGTGAGTCTTCGCTGAGCTGTGACTGGGTGTGACGCTCTCAGCCCCGTGCCTCTGGCATGCCAGGAGCTGTCAGCGAATGTCAGCCCTGAGGGTTGTCCCTTCTCGGCCTTCGCGGTCCCCCGGGAACCATGCAGAGAAAGCTGTGTGTCCCCAGCTGGAGGCAGTGTATGGGGAGCTGTCACCTACGGGAGGCTCCAGGCTGAGGGTTCTGCTGAACACAGCATTTAATACTGTGGAGCCAGACTTGGGTCTTCTACCCAGACTCCAGTGTGCACGTCCGTTCTCAGCAGCTGCCTGTCGGACAAGGCAGAGACTGACATCGGTGTGGCCCTTCTCCCCTCCGCCTCCAGCTGGGGCAGGAGTATGAGAAGGTGTAAGGACAGGAGAGGAGGTGCCCCCCAAAATGGGTTCTAGGGTCTACGGGGATCCCTAAATAGTCTCTCTCGCAGCATGCTGACAATTAGAGAAGCAGCAATAGCTTCTGTCTGTGGAGGTCTCTGTGTCGGACACCATTCTAGACACATCACATAAGAGTCTCAATTCATCCTCTGCAGAAGGAACTACTGTTACTCCCACTTTATAGATGAGGAAACTGAGGCTTTGATCACACAGCCTGTCCTCAGCACACCGCAGTGGCCCTCGTCACTAAGCGACCACGGAAACCCTGTCGGGGCCGGGAAAGCAAGGGCCAGCCAGGGACACCCCACTGCTGGCCACCACGCAGTCTCACTGCACGGCCAAATGCTTTCTGGAATAAAGGGAAAGTGGGGGGCTGTGCATGCTTGGCACCCCCAGGAGCCTCAAGCCATCAGGACTGAGAGAGGGCACACTCTCTGGGTGTGCCCCTGGCTGGGCTGGCATGCCGACCAGCGGCCACCAGGCTGAAGAAGTGGGTCACCCAGGGTACCCTACACACCTGCCAACCTAGCAACCTCCTTTCCTACACTTAATGGTGTGTTCATTTCTTTTGGGGTATTTGCCTTCATTTAAGGGAAATGACTGTGTTTTCAAGAATTTACTAATTCTCGGCAATGGCCAATCTCTGCAAACTGGCACCGTGTGTTCTCTGACAGGAAACAAAAATCCAAACCCCTTGCTCTGCCCGGGCCCCTCAGACACTCCGCCTCCCCACCACCCCTCCTCTCAGGCAGGTAAACCCCGAAAACAGGGGACACTGAGTCGAACTGGGGAAATGCTGCTAACAGATCAAGCCCAGCCGCAGCCTGTATCCCTAACAGCTGATGGGGCACTGGCTGGACCGGCTGGGGGGACGGGAGGGAGGGCCCGCCTGCATGAGAATCACGGTCCTTGATTCTTCTTAACTCTCGCAACAGCCAGCCAGCAGGCAGACACGAGAAAGGGAGCTGGTGGAAGAGAGAGAGACAGAGAAGACCGTGGTAAACAAAAGTAAAAGCAGCCCGGTGTCCAACATCGGCGCGGCCGACACTGCCCTCTGCCCACGCTCTCTGACTCGGGGCTGAACTGCCAGATGTGGGCTTTGGAGCCCTACGGCACCCTCTGCTCCGAGCCTGTTGATGGCGCTGTGCTTCCCAGCTCTGCCCTCCCCTCCTCCACACCGCAGAGGTTTCCAGGGCCGACAGCTACCCATAGAAAATAAAAATAAAAAAAGCAAATCTTCCAGCCAGGTTCAGGATCTGCCTTGATGATTCTGCTTCCATGGCAACCACGCGACAAGGAGGGGAACGTGGAAACGGCTGGGGAAGGAGGCCGGTGCCATCCGTGTATCAGAGGAAGGGTCCTTTGAGTTGTGGACCAGGGACTTGGCAATGCCCATCCCCAGGTGACGCCCTCTGGGTGCGAAGCCTCTCTCCAGACGGACTCCATCCCTCAACCTGGGCATCTGTCTCAGCACTGGGCGTGGTAAGTCCCACAGCTACTCTGCGTTCTGGGTCCCAGAGGGCAGAGTACACGTCACACAGCTGCTTCCCGGCCTCCTTTTTCCTGCTTCTTCCTCTTTACCCATTGACTTCCTTCTCCCTCCTCCCCGGTACACCCCTCCTGGCTCCCTCTCAGGCCTGAAGGCATCACCCAAGCTTAGAAAGGTCACTGACCCCTTGCTCCTCAAAGACAGCAGTAGAAAGAAACCAATGAAACCACCTAAAACTAGTTGCAGTGGGGTTTAGGATGGTTTACTGGGATCAGTGGTTCTCAACCAGGGCGATTTTGTCCTCCAGGGTCCATGGGACAGTGTCTGGAGACATTTTTGATGGTCAGGACTGGGAAGTGAGCAAGGAAAAGCACAATATGACTGGCGTCCAGTGGGCAGAGGCCGCAATGCTGCTGAACATACCACAATGCACAGGAAAGCTCAAACCCATAGTGCCAAGGCTGAGAAACCCTAACCAGAAGCTCAGTTTCAACGGCTTATGAACTGCATTTCTTTCCATAAGGAACCATCACAGGAAATTGGCCATCCATCATGAATGGAGGCTGTACTGGGGGGAAGGGTCCTTTTGAAATGAAAGTGTGGGAGAATCTTTGCAAAGATCCCACCACCCTATTGAGATGCAAAGAAAGTGTGACATTCCAGGGCCTGTTGCGCGGATGAAGGTTTAAACCCAAAGTTGATTCGAGGGTGTTAAGCCTGGGGCCCATAGGCTTCAGGGAACTGGCTGAAACTGTATGCAAAGTGTCACCTGTGCCTCTTTGGGGACAATACCTTCACAACTTTCATCAGATTCTCAAAGGCAGAAGTGACTCAGGAAAGTCTGAAAACCAGCCATCCAGATTCCGTTTGTTCTGACCTGCACTCTGTTTCACGTCTGTCTTTCTGGCTGTGGCCTCCCTGTCCCCAACACTGATGTCACAGAGCCCAGAGTCCTCCTCTCTTTGGCAGCCTCAGAGGGGAGAGATCATTGCCCTACCAGACACAACTAGACAATAGACAGACGGACAGCTTCCCAGCCTAAGAACCTGACCTAGGCCCTGCCCAAAGTATGCAGCAGCAACCTACCTGGTTTACCTGAACTTCATTCGGATTGGTCACCCGGTCCAGGCCGTAGTCCAATACGTTGTTCATTCCTGGCTGAATGGAATAAAAATAACATAAGGACCACTACCGGGAGCACGTCCAGTTTCTAACTGGGTCTTAGCCAAGCTGCCACTCGTGAGACAGCTGAGAAGGGCCTGTGGCCTAGTCCACAGAGATACGAGGGTGTGTAAGACCCTCTAGGTGAACTGGTGAGCTTCATAGGGCTGTTCCACCACCACAGCACCCCCAGAATCTAGTACAATGAGATGGACGCATGCATGCATGCCCTGATGGGTGGGTGGGTGGGTGGGTGGGTGATGGGAGGATGAGTGGATAGATGAATGGGCAGATGCCTGGATGGATGGATGGATGGATGGATGGATGGATGGATGGATGGGAAGATGCATGGATGGATGGATGGATGGATGGATGGATGGATGGATGGATGGATGGGAAGATGCCTGGATGGATGGATGGATGGATGGATGGATGGATGGATGGATGGATGGGAAGATGCCTGGATGGATGGATGGATGGATGGATGGATGGATGGATGGATGGATGGATGGATGGATGGGAAGATGCCTGGATGGATGGATGGATGGATGGATGGATGGATGGATGGATGGATGGATGGATGGATGGATGGGAAGATGCATGGATGGATGGATGGATGGATGGATGGATGGATGGATGGGAAGATGCCTGGATGGATGGATGGATGGATGGATGGATGGATAACACTCAGTTCAGTAAGAGTTCATTGGGATGAACACATGAGACCCCCAACTCCTCCCATGCTGCTCCTTCCCCTCCCTACAGTGCAGTGCTTTGGAGAGTCCAGCTTCAGCCAGGCGCCTCTGGGATCCAGTCCCAGTCCTGCCACTTCCTAGGTAAGAGGAAGGTCCTAGACATGACTTCTCTCTGCACACGCTGTCCCTTCTGAGAAACAGCGGCGATTCTCCTCCCTGCCAGGCTCGTGTGAGATTAATGAGGTGGGGCAGAAGGCAGCTATTACAGAGCAAGGGCTGTGTTCATTCTAAGGCTGTGTGTGGAGGCCTGGCCCAAAGCTGGGTCTCAGTGTTTGTTTGTTTTTTAATTTCTTTTTCCGCATTGATTTTAGAGAGAGAGGAGGGGAGAGGGACAGAGAGATAGAAACATCGATGAGAGAGAACATCGATTAGCCGCCTCCTGCATGCCCCACACTGGGGATTGGGCCCATAACCTGGGCACGTGCCCTGACCGGGAATCGAACCAGCGACCTCTTGGTGCAGGGTCCATGCTCAACCACTGAGCCACACCAGCCGGGCAGGTCTGTCTTCGTCAGTTCCCTTCTCTGTCAGGCCAGCCAATCTTGCTTGGTCTCTCTCAATTCTTGGAGGCCAGAGTTCGGGTCCTGCACTTCCCTCTGTGCTGGTTTGGCACCAGGCACCTTCAAGTTCTTGTGTGATTACCCAGGGTGACTCTCCGGGAGCAGAGGCGGGAGCAGCTGTGCATTCTCCCTAGAGTCAGCCTCGTCAATAGGATCGGTCACAGTTTTCGCTCAGAAGTATGGTTGCCAAATAAAATACTGAATGCCCAGTTCAGTTTGAATTTCAGATAAACAATAACTATTGTGATTATATCATTTTACATAAAAATATATTCCCTATGTTTTTAGTATAAACACACAATAAGTATCAAAATATTGGGGCATGTATTATTGGCTGTTTATCTGAAATTCGAGTTTAACTAGGCATCCTGTATTTTATTTCCTAAACCTGGCAACTTAGCTCAGCAGGCGCCATGGGGCAAATGTTGGGCATACGGCCTCGGCAAGGAAGAGAAAACACAAGTAGGAAGTCGGGGGGAGGACAAGGCGATGGCCGTCCTCACCCTGGTTGTTGCATGTGGACCTCAGTCGACAGATTGAGCAGCCACTTCCTATGGCTGCCTGGGCTCCTCCCTGGGGAGCCCGCGGCGGACGTGACAGAGCCCCTGCCTCCAGGCACCCCCAACAGAGCTCCTGGAGGAGGCAGCCACTCCGCAGTTAATCACACAAATGATGAATTACAGTTGTCACGAGTGCCATGAAGGGCAGCGCAGAAGTCCAAGCCTTCAGCAGCTCTGACCCGGCACGGGGGCAAGAGGGGCGGAGAGGGGCCGTCGGGATCGGCGCCTTTGCCCACGGTGGGTTCTAGGAAATGCCCCTCTGTCTGGCATGAGACGTCCCCCAGCCTGCCTGAAGAGAGACTTCACACATACACACTCACACACACTCAAACACACTCACACTTACCACTTTCACATCTCACACACACACTCTCATTTACACACACACACACTCTCTCATTCACACTCTCACACTCAGACCCACTCGCATACTCACTTGCACACATCCTCACACGTGCACGCTCCAATGCAATCACCTTGAGTCTTGACTTCGCTCTCCGACTGCTCCCCGTGAACTTGGCCCTGATAGGAACTCGCGCCCTGGGCTCAGGGGGGCCTGCATAACCGTAATCAGCACCAGGCTGCCCCCAGCTGCCCAGGACAGACAGCCCCCCATGGGCCCTAGTCTTCTTCCAGCCTGGCCAGTGCCCCCCCTCCCGCTCTCTTCAGCTCTACGGAAGGGCCAGGGACACCCCCCTGGCTGCCCAGGCTCCTGCCCCCTCTCGGCCTTTGCATGCATCTCAGCTGCTCCTATAGAGCTGTGGTTGCATCTCAGCGCCCTGCCTTCAAGACTCAGCAGGGTTTCTGCTTCTGCTGGTTTGGGAAACCCCCGTGCCCGCACAGGAAGCCCTCCGGAGGAACTGTGCACAGCAGGGCATGACGACATCCCTTGGGCATAAGCCAAAGAGGCAACGTGCTCAGTTCTTCATAACTCAGGTTAGGAAAGGCCCTTTGTAGCCCTAACATCTGCTCTCTGAGGAGGCGACATTCCCAGAACCGGCATTCCAGAGCAGGGCGGGGCGGGAGCCGATGTGACTCCCTGGTGACACTCCACCATGTCCCTCCTGTCCCTACTCCCCTCTCTTTCTCAGCGCCCCGCTCTTCCTTCTCAGTCCAGACCCTTTCGGTGCATGGGCCAGAAAAGAAATGATCAATAAAACCCCAAATAATTTTATACACGAAATAAAACCGGGGAAAGGGAGATGAGGCTGAAAGAGGGAGAGCGGTTTGGACGGAAGGGTGGGGGAAGTCGGCTCCAAGCCGATCTTGGCTAGAATGACACTCCCATGAAGCGGTGTTCCCAGACCCTCGATCCGAGGCAGGACCCCTGCCTCTCACAGCCGCTGGCCTGGCGTCCGTTCAGCACACGTCCGTCTGTGCACGCGACTGGACCTCCCTGAGCCTCGACCTCCCCTCTGGATAATGGGGTGATGCTTCTCCCGGCTTCGCAGCAGCGTCCCAGGTATAGGCCCATCTGTGCCAAGAGCCTACCACAGGCCCGCAGCTGGCACTCAATGACTTCTAGCTGTTACTTTATGCCCAGGACCTGACTGCTCCGCGGGCACAGAGTCGGGCGGGCCCCATGAAGGCTTCACAGATTCCCGGACAGACGACTCGGCAGCTGCAGGCCACGTCCCACCCACAGCAATGGGTTCCAGTCGGCCCACACGCTGGCTGCTCTGCACTCCACAGAGACAGACGCTTTGTTTGCCTGGCTGGCTCTTTCCCCAGTGCACTGAGTCTGTTTGGGTTTCTGGGAGACAGTCCGTCAGTCCCTAAGCTCCTGGGCTTCCTGGGTTTGCTCAGTTTCCAGGCTGAGACAGACTTCAAACGGGACGCTCTCCAAACAGGACGCGTTCCCAACCAGTGCTCTCGGGCCACTGGAGAAAGCCGGACCCAGGCGCCCTGTGGCCTCATCTCTGACGGCAGGTCCGGTTTCCACTCCAGGGAACAGTAAGAGAGCAATGGATGTGAAGAGTTCTGTGTCCAAGGGATACTTTACAGCTGCTTCCAGTACTTCAAAGCCTCGTTCTGAACTTGGCTCCCCAGGGCTATCACAGAGGGGCCGGGCACCTTGGGAGCCTGGCCGCATATTTGTTAGGGTGGCAACGCTCGAATGACCATGGAGGTCACCAAAAGGTCTTAAATGCACCGAGACACCCTGGGACACAGTCGTGGGAGGCGAGAGTATCGGGACTAAGAGGACTAAGAGGGAGAGGCCGTGCAGTCTGTGGGCTCAGAGTCGCTGGCACTCACTAGCCAATCAGCAGCCTCCCTGAGCCTCCGCATCCTTGTCACCAAAATGGCACTAATAATATTGCCTCCCACACAGACAAAGTGAGACAGTGACTGCAGAACGATGCCCAGGGCAGTGCCCAGCACACTGAAAGTTCATTCAGGTCTCCAGTGATGATGATGATGATGATGATGGTAGCAACAGTGTCAAGGGTGGTGATGGTGCAGATGGCAGTGGAGAAAGTGGGGGCAATGTGGGAGGTGGTGGAGGTGTGTGAGGGGATGGTGAAAGCCATCATCACAGAGACACGTTGTCAAATTTAGGTTCTTCTGAATCATACTGTAGAGACCCACTCAGCCATTTTCCTGGCGTGGGGGCTGAGCGATTACCCCAAGAGAACTGGGGAGAACTTGGATAACCTGCTTTTCCTTGTTCCCCACGGGTCTCCTGGGGAGGAGGAGACCGGGCAGATCCTGCACAGGGCCCGTCTGCGTCACTGTGGAAGGGATGCAGCCACACTGTCATTCCCGCACCACAGCCTTCCCCACCCTGCAAGGTGCAGGTCCCCTGGGTCACCAGTGCCACCAAGCACCAGGGCATCTTGCCAAACAAGTAGCTTATCTGCCATCGCTCTTCTCCTCGCCACGGCTCCCTCTTTAGGCACAGGTGTCTGAATGCAGGCTGAAAAATGTCTGGTTCCCTTCTCATACAGACAACTCACTCCCAAGCGCCAATGCAGAGGTGGGTGCTTGGCTCCGTCTCTCCAGGACCCTGGGCTCAGTCACCCACTCTTCCGGCCCCCAGGCACCCGTGTTGGGCATTGGTCAACTGGTTTCTCCAAAACCAAACAAGCTGCTTGGAGATCAACCCCAGGACCTTGACCTTGGCAACAGGGCATCCGAACCAAAGCCCCCAAGATGGGACATCTGTGGGATATTTGAGTGTAGAAAGAAAATAAGCAAAACGGCCAAAGTCTGATGGGCCTGAAGTTCAGAAAGCCAGCAGCTTTGGCACCATGACTGCCCCAGTTTGCTTTCTGGTTCTGAGACTCTGGTCATCTAAACCCAGAGGAGGAAGAGGGAGAACGCTTCACTTTTCAGAACGCCTTTCACACCTCCCACGGCCCACAGGCAGCACACGGGTCTGACACAGGAGTAAACTGAGGCAGCAGAGTTACCCCCGTGGGCGGCGGTGACAGCCTGCTTCCTGGTGCTAGAAATGAGCCCACCATTCCCGTGACGAGCTGTGACAGTTACATCACAGGCGCGGCCGCCCCACGGCCACAGCTGCGAGGCGCTCTCAGCCAGGAGGCGCAGCACCGCGAGGCCCCAGAATGGGGGGGCAGAGACTCAAGGCGTGACTTGGCCAGGTGTCAGTTCTCGACAGCATTTTATTTATATGCTTTGGAGCCCGTGTTCTCGTTCTTCTTATCTTTCTTTTCCAAGGTATCCTGGCTACACACACACAACAGCTTAGTCCTTTTTTTTTTTTTTTTCTTTTAATCCTCACCCAAGGACATTTTTGCATTTATCTTCAGATAGAGGGAGAGAGGGAGGAAGAGAAAGAGAGAAACATCGACGTGAGAGAGACACATCGAGTGGCTGCCACCCACACGACCCAACCGGGGCTGAGGACAAACCATAACCGAGGTACGTGCCCTTAGCGGGAGCCAAACCCGGGTCTCTCTGGCCCACGGGCTGATGCTCTAACCGCTGAGCCAAACCGGCCAGGGCCAGCCTAGCCCTTTAAAAAAACAAACTCATTCAGGTTTAATGAGGTTTAACAGCTTAAGGAATTTCACAGGGTCCTAAGGCCACCAGATGAGCAGAGCCCATCAGCCCACCGGCTTCGACACAGACTCAGCCCTGAGCAGCCCCTGCCTCCCTCAGCTCCAGCCGCAGAGGGAGCAGAGCCAGCAAGAGGCGCGGTGAGCGCTGGTGGGTGGGGGCCCAGGAGACACCGAGGCGGGGAAGGGGACACTCACCGGGCATCGGTGGACCAGCCAGTAGGCCTTCTCCTGGCAGTCCAGTGCGTACCTGTCTGCTTTATCCCTCTCCTTTCCGGTCCTGAAAAGCCAAAAGCCGTGCTTTCTGTGTGTGTGTGTGGTTTTTAGATTTTTAATAGTTACATGAGTTTTTTTTCTTACAGTTTGCATTCAATATCATTTTGTATTACTTTCAGGTGGACAGCACGGTGGTTAGCCAATCACATACTTTGCAAAGTGTCCCCCTGACATTTCCATATGATCCCATATGGGCCCCGTACATAGCTACTTCGGGCTGGTGATGGGGAAAACCCCAACCTCAGGGAGCGGTCCTTCCTCCCTCTGGTCGGCTCCACTGTCACTTCAAAGAGTTTGTGCCAAGTCAGGGTTTTTCTGAGCCCGACTTACTACTACAAAAGGCTTTTTATGTTCCCTCTTATCTCTCGGTCTCCCCCTTTCCTGTCATGAACAGGAAACAATACTGTGCTTTGCTGCCACAGGACCAGGCAGCGTTCATTGTCCCTGCCTGGGCCCCATTCAGCACCATTTCCAGGGGACCTGCGCTCACACTCGGTAGCACTTGTTTTCCTAGGCAACGGGGGATGACGCACAGGCCTGCCTCCTACGAGACACAGTGGGCAGATTTGTTTGCCAGCTAACGTCTTGTGAATAACATAACAACGTCCAGAGACGCAGATGGGCGGAGAGGGCCATTCCAGAGGGGTGTTGTACCAACGTCCTCAGGAAATTAAATATAAACACTGTCACTCCAGCTTCCTCCTGCCAACGTAACTGGATTGTCTACCAGGTTAACTACCCCGTGTCCTCGGGAGCCGGAGGTACTGTGACTTTTCATGATGCTCGACAGCCTGATAAACAGTCGATCCTAATTTGCTCCCATAATCCTTTCTGGCTCCGCTTTTTTGGTCCACTCTGATGGGAGTGATTGGAAGAGAGATGTAATAAATGGAATCCCAGGGAGTCAGGGAATGGGGAATTGTTTTAGCTTGTCATATTATGATTTTTTTTTTTTTTTTAGCAAGGGTATCACATTCATCTATTCATTCACCTATTGATTGGTCTCCTGGTATGTTCCAAGCCCCTGGGAGCACACTGGTGAACCAGACAGACTGCCGTGGGCTGAATGTGTCCCACCCCAGGCTGTCCTGGGTCTCGACCCTGCAAGCTTGCAGCTGCTCTCCTGGCTTCTAGCTTGCCCACCACAGACCTTGGGACTTAATGCCCCCTAACTGAGGGAGCTAATTCCTCAGAACAAATCTATCCATATTTATATGCTGTTTGGTTCTCTTCTCTTAGAGAACCCTGACTAATCACCACCACGCCGGTTCCGAGGCTGCTTCGTGAGAACGGGGTCTCCGCCGTCCAGCCCAACCGTGCACCAGCAAGTCGGGAGCTGCCCGGATCGGACAGTCCGGGTAAGTGGAGCTGGGCCGGCTGGACTTACCCATTTTGCTAATCACGGTATCAGTCCCCAGATAGTCCTGACTCCCGCATTGCAGCATACAGGGATAGTGTACATCTCTGCCCGTCCGCCTTTGAAATTGGGCATGACCGTATGGCCTGCTCTGGCTAATGAATTGTGGGCAGAAGTGACATGTACCACTTGCGACCCGCGTAGCCCTGCCCCCCTACTGCTCGGGTAGCAGACAAAGCTGAGATGGTGCTGCTCCTTTAGCACAGGTCCCAGAGTGTGCACAAAGCATGCCAGGGCCCCAGCTGACCCCCAGCAGACGTGTCACACGAGCAAGAAGTGAGCCGTGTGGTTGCATGGCCCTGAGATGCGGGGCTGTTTGTGACGATAGCCGAGCCCCATCCTGACGGACACACCCGCCCAGCATTTCCACCTGGGCTCTGATGGGCAAGACAGTGTGCTGCAGGAGGATGTCAGCTCCACTCCCGATATGAGCAGCAGGCAAAAGACAGCAGCACTGGTTGGTGCTAACGTGGGAACCTGGTATCTCCCCTGCTTAAAACCTTTCTGTGGCTCCCCATGGCCCTATCTCCATCCTCACGTCTGCCAGTTCCAAGCTTTGGACTCTCCACTCCGGCCACAGGAAACCTCATCAAATGGAGAACACTGCCCTGCCTCCAGGCTCTGGTTGTCACGGTTTCTCCCAGCTCACTGCTCCGGCCACCATCACCATCCTGCACCTGGGTGCCTCCTATGCAGCCTCCAAGTTCAATGTCGCGTCTACGGCTCCTTCTGCAAACTGCCCCCTGTGGCTCTCACCCCAGTGCAGCACCATGAGCATCTGCCTGACCCGCTAGACTGTGTCTTCACACTCCCTATGCCTCCCCCGTGTTTCACACCCACAGGCCCAACAGAGGTTCATTTCACTGAACGGAAACAAGCAAGGGAGGGAGGAGGGACAACCAGAGGGCGAACATGACCTTTCACTCACCTGTACTGCTCTTTGGCCTGCATAATGACGAAGTCCCACTTGTAGTTGATTTTTTTGTTCAAGAAATTGTAATTTTCCTAAGGAAAGAAGACAGAGTGAGAACACTGGGTCCCGTGACCTATGCCACGTGCAGCGGGCAGAAGCCTAAGTCAACGAGGGGTGCCCCCGACTCTGCGCAACTGGGCCCAGCCGAAGGGCCTGCGCCCCAGTTCTGCCAAGGTGTTCACTTAAGGGGAAGCACCAAATTTGCAAAAAGCCTTTTTAAAGACACGTATCCCAAATCTTCTGAGGAAGAAGGGAGCAGTGTGAGGAGGGACACGGAGACTCGATAGTCAACAACGGAACATCACAGATGCCCGAAGATAAGACTAGCCCGGCTGTGACGCTGTTCTTCTAAAACCGTGTCTGTAGAGAACGAGACCAGCAGAACTGATACCCTCTGCCCAGACACTGAGCCTTCTGGGCATCAGCGTGTGTCCTTTGAGAAACCTGACTCATCTGGCCTGAAACCAAAGTCTGTCCTATTGTCCCATTACGAACGCAAATTCAAATCTGTTCACCAAATAATATGCAGTTTCACACATATTTATTCATATTGTTTGGGGACACGTGCTTAAATTACAGCAGGAGAAACTGAAGCTCAATGTGCAGAAGAACTTACTTCAGGGAACTGCTTCTAAATGGATGGATGGATAATGGACAGATGCTGGATGGAGAGATAGATGAGTGGATGGCTGAATGGAGCAATGGATGGATGCTAGATGGTCAAATGGATAAATGATGGATGGATGGATGGATGGATGGATGGATGGATGGATGATGGACAGAAGATGGATGATGGATAAGGATACATATGAATGTAGCAATGGGGGAAACAGAGGGGGGAAAAAGCTCAAGACTCTATTCCACTCAATTATAATAACCTTTAGAAAGTATCTCTGTACCTTTTCATGTTCTTCTAAAACCCCTTTCTTCTTGATATTTCGCTTGGTCAGATAGATGGCTGGAGAAGAAAACAATGTACATTTTCCATCATCAGATTTCTAAAGTTCATCTGCAGCCTCCCTGTGCGTGAGGCTGCCCTGCTCAGCCTGGGGGAGAGGACACTCCGCACACCCGCCCTCTTCCCTCGGGAGCACTCCCAACACAGACGTGTACTGACATAAAGGCCATGATGACAGCAAGACAAATGTCACCAATGCCAGTACATAAGCGGCACGTTAAGCATCGCCAAAGGCGTGAGGGGGAGGGCAGTTACCATAGTCCGTGTCTTCGGCTGGCCACAGCTGGGTCGGCCAGAAATACGGCGTCTACAAAAGAAACCAGGCAGCCTCACTTAGACAGTGGGCTGTGGCCCAGCAAGCCCCAGCCATGTGCCTTAAGAGATAAAAGTTCCTTAGTCCCCCCACCCCACCCCCCACCATTTCTACAGCCCTGATCCGTGAGGATTAGAAGCCAAGCAACTATCTTTGTAGATAAGATTAACCCCGTGTTAATTTCCGAAGCCCAGGCCCAGACGCACCTGAAATCGGTAGAGGCTGCCGTCGGGCTTGAGGACGAGATTCTTGGGGTCCTGCAGGGGGTAAATGTAGCCGTACTTGACAATAAAGTTGCCCAAGTTCTGCGCCTCTGGGGAGAAGCAGTTGAGTCATGGATGTTGTGAGCAGTGGCCGAAGGTAGGAGCTCATGACCCAGCCCGCACACAGCACCCCAATTCCAGGAGAGATGCCCCCATCCTAACAGCACTTCGGTCAAGGACAGTGGTTCCTGCACTTGGCTGTGGGCCAGTCTCAGCTGGGGAGCATGCTGACAGGAGGGTTCCCCAGCCAGCCCCCCCCCCCAGGAATGACAACTTGGTAGGTCTGGAGGGGAGCCAGTGAACCCGAAAGCTACCAGGTGCTACAGGTGGTCCACTGTAGGCTTTTAGGGGTGACAGGTGGGGAAATCCTGAAGAAGCTTTTTTGGACCCTTTGGGTCTGCGAAAGTCCCCAGGAGCCGGGAGCAGAAACCTCTGCCTGACCAATGGACAGTCCTTACTCCCTGGGAAAGGAGGCTACTGTTGACTTCTCTCCCACGTCCAGACCCTCCAGCCCCTCCCACCTCCCCACTCCAGGTCTTGTTGCTGACTGTGCACCATTAAAGGAAAAGCATCCCGGCTCTTAGAGGCACCAGTGAAAGCAGGTGTGTTCCATCACTGAGAGAGTCCACCAGGCCCACCCTGCCCAGGACCCCACCACATGCCATCCCGTAGCTCAGCCTCCGAGCCTTGGGAAGACATTCGCCCAGCCACCCCTTCACGTCTCACCCCCTCCATCAAAGATCCTCATTTTTTATGTCTTGTCCCAACAGCCTTTCTTTCCAGTGGGAAATCTGGTCCCCAGATTCTTTCTGCTCCATTCCATCCTTCAGATTGCTGCCAAACACCCTAGCCTAAACGGGACTGTCATACACACTGCCGTGCTCAAGCCCCACCCCCCGCCCCGCTTCCTGTTGCCTAGTTCCCAGATAAAACGGGAGTCTGGAAATATGCGTTCCCCTCCCCCCACTGCCCTCCAAACCCAGAAAGAGGCATCTCTCCCAGCTTCCCCCCCGCCCCCCCCGGCACCTCTCCGTTCCTTGTTCGTCCCATTTCTCCAGACAGACCCTCCGAGCTCCCCTCCACGATTCACAAGTATCACTTCTTTTGAGACCAAGTGTGCGGATGCATCGCCCCCTCCAAAAAACCTTTCTTGACTGACTCCTCCCCAGTTTCCCCTGTCATTGACATGCTCTCAATGTTTTGTATGAAACCATTGTGTCCCCCAGTCCTCATGCCTTCACGTTGGATTCTGGTTGTTTTACACCTGAAGGCCTTGTCTCTTCAATTAACATGTCAGTTTCTCAGAGACCCAGGCTAAGCGTCCATGGAGTCTTCACCCTGCAGAAATGCTGGTGTGCTACGCATGGCAGCCCTTGGTAAGGGTGCTAGAACAGCTCTCACCCAGACTGGAGACCCAAAGGCGCTGGACCAGCCACTGTAGGACATCACTTCCTGCAAAACAGAAGTATGCGGCCATCGTCAGAGCCTCCTAACACACCCGCTGACCTCCACGCTGTGGCCTGGCTGGCCTCCCCCTGCTCAGCTGTGATCTCATCCCTCTTGTGCTCAAACTGTTTGGGGCTCCCCTCCACCCCTACCCCACCGTGCTCCGTGCAGATCCTGCAGCCCGTACGTCGGAGCCAGCCATGATCTGACTCTGGCCAGATTTCCAGCTTAACCTCCCCTATACACCCTCAATCTCTACTTCTCTCGTGGTATTCCTTTTCTTATCTTCCAATAATCTGTGCATAGACTCAAGTCGAAAGTAAACAGTCTAAGTCTTAACACTGAAAGAAACAGACTCCAGGTGAGCTATCTGTGGAGCCGTAGATGGAGCCCAAACACATGGGCTAAGTCAAAGCCTGTGGTGGGGAGAAAAGTGGGGGTGGGCTGAGAAAGGGGACTGATTCTCCTGGACCCCCAAGTTCCTGGGGAAAGCTGAGAGTCGGAGAATTCTGACCTGGCCTTCCAGGTCACTGCGAAGGCACTTCTGTGAAAGGAGGAGGGTGGGGCTGATTTTAGTAACTCTGTAGGGCGGATTACGACTTTGGCCAGTAGAATGTGGGTTCCACAGTTACCCTGAGTCCTGCAAGTCTCAGGGGCTGGCCTGGGAACAGTGCAGAGTGAAGGCTGGGGTGAAAAAACAGGAAGGGCAGAGAGAGACGAGGTCAGGAGAGAACGTGCATCCCGCTAGTGCTTAGAGAAGTCTCTTTTCTGTATCCAATATGCCTCCGGGGGAACAAACCCTTCTCTGCAACCCCCGAATCATAAAGCATATGCCACACATTTCTCAAAATGCATTCTTATTTTGGGGTCCAGCTCTTTCTGTCCATACTCTCCAATGCTGCTCTGCACCCCTTTACCCCACACCCAGAGGAAGGACACGGGGCATCATCCCCATGGGTAGCTAAGAAGAGTCTATGAATTTGAAGGCAGGGGAGGGTGGAATGAAGGCCAGTTGTTTTCTGCCAAATGGTTTTTATTTTCTGCCACCTGATTTCATTAAAACCAAAACAAACAGAAAGTGACAGTAAATGTCTTTTAAATGATCTCCTAGGCGGAATGGCTTTGCAAAGTAACCTTACTGATTCTTTTTCTCCTTCCCTCTGGCCCCTTCCTCAGAACGAACCTGCAGTCTGGCAATCAGCAAAGCACTCTGTAAAGGGCTAGACACAGGGGAGGGGAACTTTTTTCTGCCAAGGGCCATTTGGATATTTATAGCATCATTCACGGGCCATAGAAAATCATCAACTTAAAAATTAACCTGTTAGCCTGGCCTGTGTAGCTCAGTGGATTGAGCATCGTCCCATGGACTGAGAGGTCTGGGTTCAATTCTCAGTCAGGGCACATGCCCAGGTTGCAGGCTCGATCCCCAGTAGGGGGCATGTACGAGGCAGCCGATCGATGTTTCTCTCTCTCTCTCTCTCTCGAAATCAACAAAAAAAATTTTTTTAATTAACCTGTTATATTTGGTCAGGCTAACTTGATGAGGCGTGTGATACTAGCTGGTATTGATTTCAAGGGCCTTATACAGCCCGCAGGCCGGATGTTCCCCACCCCTGGAGAGAGTAAATATTTCGGTTGACCCAGCCAAAGACAATACATAAATGGGGACGTGGATGTGCTCCAATAAAACCTTATTTACAAACATAGGCTGCAGGCCAAGTTTGGCCCACGAGCTACAGGTGGCCAGCCCCTGCGTGTGGTCTGTTCCAGGACAAGACTAAATTACAAGACGCGTTACCTGTCATGGCATGAGGGATGCTGGTGACCAGCATCTTCTGGTTCTGCACTCTGACCCCCGTCTCTGGGTGCTGCATGTCCTTCACTAACGCCTCAATCTGCAAGACACAAGCGAACAGCCTGGCTGAGCAGAACCGTTTCAGAGGCTGTCGGGGCTTTTTCGCAGCACTGAGGGACCAAGGGACACCAAGATGAACACGCAGAGCGTGCCACCGGGGTGGCACTGGGTGACCCTCATGCAGTGCCACCAGAACTGACTGTGCTCCACAGACACGCATCCCTCACGGACTGTGAGCTCAGAGAGACTCACTGTGACCTGGAGATTCCGCAGAGGCTGCCAGGAGAGGGTGGGACTTGACAGAAAGGATTTTCCTGGACAGAAAGTCAGAGGACAGCACGAGATGCCTGCCCAGGGTGCGAGAGGGACAGAGAACAGTGGAGACGCGGCTGGAACAACAGGTGGAGGCCAGATCACAGTGGGCCTCGAATGCCCCTCCCGTGGTGTGGGTTTGGTTCCAGCAGCTGTTTCTGAGGACGAGCACAATCTGGTCTGCGTTCTGGAAGTGGGGTCTGGGCCAGCGGGAAGACACGAGTAGGAAGGGTGGCACGGCAGGGAAAAGCAGGGACATCTCTTCAGAGCTATTGCTAGAGTCTGGTCGGGGAGTGATGGGGTGTCGCCATTGCCACGTCAACCCCTCGGTCTGTTCTCAACAGCGCAGCGGGAGTGAGTCTTCATTATTCTGGACGTTACCTCTGCACTCAGAACCCTGCAAGGGCCGTTCCACTCAGTCAATGGCCAAGTTTCCCTCTCTGGAAGCCAGGACAGCTGTGCACAGCTGGGCCTGAAGCCAGGACAGCTGCACACAGCTGGACCTGAAGCCAGGACAGCTGCATACAGCTGGACCTGTCTTCGCGGAGGGTTGCACCTGAAAACCAACCTGTCCACTCCCCAAGCTAAAAGAGCTCACTGGTCTACCTGCTTCCTGCAATTGAACTAACCTGGTTACATCACCGTTATTCTTCTGCAATTTAATGCAATGACACTCTCTAAAGCTGTGTGGCCCTGTACAGTCAACAATGTCCCTTTACAGTTGGCATGTGCCTGTGGTCCAAACAAAAGGAACTTAAGCCTCTCACAGCCTCCCAGTAGGATTTCCTTTGTCTACTACCTGGAGAATTTCCTCTTTAAATTTCCTTCCTCTACCATAAAAAGAGTACATTGATAGTACGTATCCAACCAATTGATATGGTTTTATAATCTCTTAGAATCTAATTAATTGTGTGAAAATGCTTTATGAGGCAAAATATATGTTATACAGGCATAAAGATATATAAGGATAAAGACATAGAAACATAAAGAGAGATGCTTTGTGAGGAGACATATATGTTACTGGTTGTTGATAGAACCATCAGTAATAGCATTTGTACAATTAGTGCATCTTAGAAACTTCACATGCAGGGCTGTGTTCAGAGCCTGGGAGTCAGAACCGAGCTCGACCCCCCCAGTGAAATACATGTGGGGGAAACAACAAGGTAAAGAATACTTCCGGTCCTGGGAGAGTTGGGAAGACATTTGTAGGAAAATAGAAATTTAACTAAGAGAAACACTGGCGATCTGGGTGCATAAAACGCTCCGTTCGAATCCCTGCTCCAATGTATGAGCTAGATAAATGGCTACATCTCACTAAGACTCGTTTCTCTGTAAAATGGATTGCAAGTAGCTCGTCATCAGAGGAATGATGTGAAGATGAAAGGAGATTGATCACGTAAAGCACTTCCCATCGCGCTATGCATCGAGCAAGTACTCACCAGATGGCAAGAGCAGACGGAATTTTGCACCAAAAACTAGGGAAGGTGCCTAATGGAATAAGAGCCAGGAAGAAGAGGATGGTTGAGATGATCAAAAACCAGTGTACCCAGAGGATGAGTAGGATTTCCCTAGACAGTGAGGAAGGGGCTGTACGTAGAGGGAGGGAGCGAGGGAGGAATCGTGGGAGGGCCCCGGCTTCTCTACGCCTGGAAAGTGAGGACCTGGAAACCGGAAGCTTTGTGGCACATGGTTGCTGGGAATGCAAAATGCAAACGGTATGGAGGTCCCTCCAAAAATTACACAGAATGGCCATATCATCCAGCAGTCCCGCCTCTGGGTGTTTATTGAAGAGTTGGCATCGGGATCTCGAAGAGGTATTAGCACTGTGTGTTCACTGCAGCGCTATTCACAACTGCCAACACGTGGAAACCACCGATGTCCACCGATGGAGCGGCAGAGAAGAGAACAGGGTATGTGCAAACAGTGGGGAGCACGCGGCCTTTTCAAAACAGAAAGTCTGCACTAGGAGAACATGGATGAACCCGGAGGACACTTTGCTAAGTGATAGGAGCCAGTCACAGAAGGACGCAGGTGAGGTGTCTAATGGGCAGATTCATAGAATCAGAGTGAAATGGTGCTTCCAGGAGCTGGGGCGGGGGGGGGGGGGGGGGAATTGCTAATAAAAGGGCGTTAAGTTTCAGGTAAGCAAGATGGATAGTTTCTGGGGGTCTGCTCTACAATATTGGACACGGAGATAACAATATTGTCTGTGCACTTCAAATTCTCATATGAAATGCTTCTGCCACAATAAAATAAAATCTAAAAGTAGAGCCTTAGACAGAGGTTGACCCAGCTGCACTGGAGGGGGGAAGCAATCCCGCCAAGGGGTCCTAAATTGGACGAATGAGACCCGCCACCTGCCCTCCTGAAGCCTGGAGGTTCCCACCTCCCCCAGGAGGGAGGGGGGTGTGGGACAATGCCCTGGGTCAATGCTGAGGGCTGAGATTCCTCTTTTAATCTGTTGCTAAACCCGTATTTGCGCGCCTGAACCCCAATCGGGAGAAACAAGCAGGATCAGGAGCACGGTCGGGGTCACTCCGGGCACAGGGCCAGCAGCTCAGCCAGCAGGACCCAGGCGGTGCCTGGGGCTCCCTGTGCCAGACTGACCACAGGCTGCTCCCATGTGCAAGGGCACTTTCTGGGCTTAGACGTGTTCGGGAACCTGACGAGCTGCAGTCCTCGTCTTCACAGTGAGAAGGCCAGGCCCCTGGTCAGCAGAGCTGCGCAGCAGCAGACGAGCAAAAGGCGGGGCTGGGAGTGGCCCCGCTCCTCCTGGACGTGGCCAGGGGACCCAGGAGCCACGGGCTGCAGGAGTCACTCCTTCCTGAGTTCTCAACCAACCACCAGCCATGGATGTAAATGCTACTTCAAGAAGTGCCTGATGTTTTGACGTGAGAGCCTGCCAGATGAAACTCGACATTTCTTTTAAAATAATTTTTAGAGGAAACAGCAGCATCTCATGGAAACAGAGGACCCGGATATTGGAGAAGACATAGAAACCCACCTTAAGAGTCAGACACCTGAGTTTCCCAGAGAGAAAGTCAGGGGATTTGATCCCCTCTTCAATTTAAATAAATTTTAAAAATCTACTTGTAAAGAATTTGAAAATAACCTCCAGAGGAGGAATAATGAGAGTTATTTTTAAAGCACAATGAAGGGAGTCAGATTTCTCTCTAGCAGGTGTATCACCCTCCCCAGAAAGGATGGGGGCATCACAGGGACCTTGAGAACATTTCCAGGGAGTTGGGCCCATGGGTATGTCAATCAGTTTTCCCCAGGACTCTCCTTCTATCAATTCCTTGGAGGGGTCTCCTCAGTCGCTCAACAAGAAAACAACAGGACTCTGGTTGGTGGCACTGCCTCTGAGAAACTCTGTTAGGGGCTGAAATGTGCCCCCTCCAAATTCATATGTTGATGTCCTAACCCCCAGGACCTCAGAATGTGACTCTGGAGATAGGGCCTTTAAAGAGGTAACAAAGTTAACATGAGGCCATCAGTGTGGCTCCTAATCCAATATGACTAGTGTCCTTTTAAGAAGAGGAGGTAAGTCACAGACACACACAGAGGGAAGACCATGAGGACCCAGGGAGAAAGCGGCCGTCTCCAAGCCAAGAAGAGAGGTCGCAGACGAAACCAACCCTGCCCACACCGTGATCTCCAGACTCCAGAACTGTGAACAAATAAATGTCTGTTGTGTAGGCCACCCAGCCTGTGGCCTCTGTCGTGGCAGCCAGACCAGATGAGTGTTTGCTTTGTTTCCTCTTACACCTCATCAGAAAACCCCTTTGCCCATCACAGACAGGAGAGGGTCTGAATTACTTCCCAAGTTCTCCAGGAGTGAGAAGCCCATGCCTTTCTGCTGCCAACTTCTGCCCGGCGAGCATCCCTTTGGAGATGAGGAAGAAGATAGCCATTCCTCCCAACCCCCCAGAGTCAATGCCCCTCCTAACCAGCCTCAGCTCCCCAGCACCTCCAAGGAGCCCCATCTCCTTCCCAAGCAACAGATAAATGTCACGGAGCCAAGCTGTGCTGGACCCCGTCTGACCCCATGTTGGGGGCAGAGGTGACGGGGTGTCAGCCCACGTTGCTTCTCACGGTGCCAACGTGCTGCGGTGTGACTGCGGGCGTGACAGGGAACCCCCACATCACGAAGGAGCAGAAATGATGGCTGTGGCGGCCTCCACATCCCACCCTCCACGCCCACACCCACTCCTCGCATTAAGAAGCTGTCACTCACTGCAAGATCTGTGGGCTGGAATTTTCCTTTCAGCTGGAGAAGGCTCCCAGGGGTGGGTGATAATAATCAGGACTTTTCTGTACCAAGATGCAGAAAGTGACCCAGAGCCACGGGGTTGTTTTGCTAACAAAGCAGAAGGGGCTCCTGCTAATACATCTGACCACATGGAGGCCAGCTGACCTCCTGGCCATCTGACCGCAATGTCTGGTAGACCCTCACAAGTACCATACCCTAATCAGTGCTCATAGTCGTTCCCCAAACCCTGCTCTTTACACCCGGGTCAAAAGCCCAAGGAGCATCCTAGATGACCCCAGCCGAGGTGGCCAACATCTGTTGATTCTGCTTTTGTTTTTGATGTGTCTCCTGTCTGCCCACCAAATCCTGCCTCAGTGGAATGTCTGGCCCCCATCCTGGACTGTCAGATTCTGCCCACCTGGCACCTGCATGTTTACAGGCACATCTCCAGCTTCCAATGCATCTGCCAGCCGAGGCACTGTTGACATCTGGGGCCAGATCACTCTCTGCTGTGGGGCTGGCTGTCCTGTGTGCACTGTAGGATGTCTAGCAGCATCCTGCCTTTACCCATGAAATGCCAATGGCATCCCCCTCCCAGCTGTGACAACCCAAAACGTCTTCAGAATTTGTCAAATGTCCCCAGGGGCTTCCATCTTAGCTATGCATTTAAATTCTTGGGAAGCGTTATTTAAAATACCAATGCCGGACCTGGTCGGGTGGCTCAGTTGATTAGGGCATCGTCCTGACATGCCAAGGTTGCAGGTTTGATCCCCAGTCAGGGCACATACAAGATTCAACCAGCGAAAGCACAAATAAGTAGAACAACAGATTGATGGGAGTTGAGGCTGGGGTGGAGGAGGGGAAGGCTGGGGTGGAAGAGAGGAAACTAGGGTGAAGGAGACAAGAGTGGGGTGGAGGAGAGCAAGCTGGTGGCCAAGACTCCAGTCAGAAGGCCAAGGTAAGGAGAAGAAACTCGTCTAGATAGCAGTCATGATGGAAAGAAGCCTGAGATTCTGATGACAAACAGAATGTCTGCAGACAAGCACTCTCCAAGCCCCAAGCCTGCTCTGTCTGGGAGAAAGAAGGCAGTCTGGGAAATCCTGGTGGCTGACTTGTACCTTTCAGCCAAGGAGTTCCGGTGGTTTCTTCTGCTTTAGGAGCTGGTGTCTGCAATATCAGTTCTCAGGCTTCTCTCTGAGTGAGACAACATTCCGACTTTTTTTTTTTTTTAAGGAGAAGCCTCACACGCTTCTTGAAGTGGACAGAACGAGTGTGACCACCCGTCCCGGTGTGCCCGGCACTGTCCAGGTTTTAGCACTGAAAGTCCTGGGCAAATCAGGAAAGTCAGGCACTGGCTACACCCATCTGCTGAGCTCTAGGGGCGCAGAGCAGGGCTCTGCTTGTCACAAAGCATTCAGCTAATTCGACTCAACACGATAAGCCTAAGATGGTGGACACTGCACCGTGACAAGTGGCTGTGGAGGGAAGGAAGGGTGGACAAGTGACCTAGGACCTAATCCTCTGACGATCTCTTCAGACGCTGGTTATCTTAAGAGTTCAGGACAAAATGATCTACTTTGTTCCCAAATATACCACCCCACACGATGTATTCTACCTCCCCCATGACCACAGAACACCCTGTGCCTGGCCACTTGGCCTCAGAAAGTCTCAGTGATGGAAGAGAAAACATTCTGACTTCTACTACCAGCAAAGAGACCTGAGATAAGCAGATACACATACTCGAATGAGTGATCTGGGGTGCTGGGAGTGGGGTGTCCCTTTATCCTATACATCATGTCATTTCTCGATCAATGTGTACACAGCCACCACACGTGCACACAAACTCACGCGCGCGCAATGAAAATATCGCTGTTTGGGATCCGATAAATAACCAAAAATGTTCATTTAACATCTGGATGCCTTGTAACAATACCAGGAGACAGTCACATCTGACAGCCGGGGCTGGACCTCCTGGTGCCCTCCTCTCCTAAGTAACAGGTTGTTCTGAGCCTCCAGCAGACCATCGCCCCGCCTCCGGTTCTCCACTATAGATAGGTTCCATGGAAACCTAATTACTACAGTCTTTAAACACACACACACACACACACACACTGCAAATAAATCATTTACTGGCAGCAGCAGCAGCAGCAGCAGCATTAATGGACCACACGGGATGCCCTCCACTCCTGCCCACACGCTCCGAGCCTCCCGGCATCTCCGCGGACACTCCCCCGAGCTGGGTCCCTGCCCACCTCCCAGGGCCCGGGTGACCGACCACGCTTACCTTCTGGAGAAAGGCCATCCTCGGCCTGTACTGCTGGCCTTGGTGTCGGATAGTCATCCTGGACCCTGGATGAATTCGGAACCAGAACCCAAAAGGGGAGAGAAAAGCAGAAGCCTGCAAGTGAAGGAGCCAGTGTGCCTCGTACACACCCGTAAGTCCAAGGGAGGTGGGGGGACCGGGAGGGCAGGGGGCCCGGGCGGCGGCTGCCTGCAGGGTCCCTTTACTGGCGCTGGGCTCACGCCCCTGGGAAAGCAGCTGGAATCTGAGCCAGCCAATCAGTGACCCGCGCCGCGAGCTCATTAGCATGCGCTGCGCTGCACTTACCTGACGCCAGGGGGCGGTGTCTGGCGCCGCCGGAGCCCAGCAGAGCCTCAGGTGAGACCTGTGTGCGTGTCAGAGACTCGCGAGTGGGAGGAGCGAGCCTTTAAACTCTCGGCGACAGATCCTCCCACTCACTGGACGGAGTTATGTACAGAAGTGGGACAAGGCAACCTTACTAATAAGCGCGATATATATAGTTCCTCTCCCGGCTCTGCCACTAGCCAGCTGGGCAACCTTGAGCAAGAGCCTTCAAGTCTCTAGGTCTCCATTTCTTTATCTGAAAGGTTTTTTAAAAATGAGATAATAATATCCACCGGAGGATTGCTATAGCATTGAATGGAGAAATGTATGATACAGTGCTTGGTCCTCACCAATGCTTAGAAATGCTTAGGGGGAAAATGATAAGTGGAATTGGTGAGGTGCTGGTTAATGAAAGAAAGAAAGTGAAGGAGAAAGAGAAGTCAATTTTAGTCTCTACTGGACCAGCTGCCTGGTCTAAGCAAATTGTTTTACTTCTCTGGCCCTAGTGCTTTCATGCCTGGAAAATGAAAGGGTGACCCTCCTAAGTAATCATCAGAACCCTAAAATAAAGCACCTTTTCCTATGTGTACAAGTCAGATGGCCATTGATTGTAGCAGATAAAATGTTTAAGTTGGAAGAAAACAAAGAGATTTGCCTCAAAAGGCACAGTCAACCCATGTCCCTTTAAAGCAGCAGTTCTTACCTGTATCTTTGGAGGTACATTACACACCTGTAAGAACCTGATGAAAGCTATGAACACTCTCCTGGGAAACGTGGCTGTGTGTGCACATGCACACACACTCACACACCACTGATTCAAGTGTGCAAACATTTTTAAGGGGTTTATGCTGGTCCCCTTTGGAGCTTTCCATGGACTCCTGACTCAGAGCCAGACACCCCCCACCCACTCCGCCTCTAGAGGACCCTGAACCCTACAGGGGTTCATCACTGAAAAGTATGTCCCTGGTGTGAGCTGAGACCCAAGGAAAGTGCTGGAATATCCTGACTTTTTTTCATGGATCATCTTTGGGGCCTAGTTATGTAGAACACACACTGGGGTGTGCTGGAGCAGATGAACCACGAGGCTCCTTCCAGCTTCAACATGGCTTAATTCTATAAGCCCAAAGCAGAGAGGAGACAACGGGCTTTTCTTAGGTCAAGGGTAAGAAAGTGAAATTATTCAGGAGCAAGAATACAAGGGACTTTCTTCTGTAATAGGATAGGAGAGGCCTCAGAACACCTGCCACTCTTTCTTCTGTTAGACCCTGTTCTCCAAGCAACCATATTCTGTGAAACTGCCCCTTAGTTCACTGGACCAGAGATGCTGGACACATGACCCAACAGCCAGTGCTGAGCTGATGATGTGACCATGATGTGGATCTGAAAAGCGTATGTGATCTTGTTAGATTGTTACCTTCATGAATGTCAGCTTCAGCCAGACAGAGGTAAAGTCAAGGCCAGCGGAAGCAGAGGCCAAATGCAAGCTAAAGTTATGAGGGAGTAGAAATGAAAGGTGAGCATAAGCCAATCAGGAGAGAAGCAAATGAACTAAGCAGACCAAGAGCAGCGGAGGGGCCATGATGCCAACAGAGAGGCCCCTAGAGCTCACCTGGCTCTGTCTTTCCAAGGGCATGTGCATCTTTGCAAATCTGCCCACATATTTTGAGTCTTTGTTTCTTGCAACAAAAAGGCTCCAAATGTGTAGGGTGGTCTTAAAAGTTTAGTGGTCATGTCCTAAAAAAATAATAATTGCTTTAATTCACCTATTCATTTAAACAGTTAACATATTGCATGTCAAGCATTGTGCTAGAATCAGGGATTCAAAGCAGAATGTGACCCAGTTCCTGTCTCAAGGAGCTCACAGGTTAATGGGGAGAAGGATACCTCAACAAAAATGCTATAAAAAGAATCTTTTTTAATGGTGATCCAGTCAACACAATACTGAACTTTGTGGCAGGGCACCTTATCCAGCCAGAGTAGCAGAGAAGACCAAGAAGCCTTCCTGGAGGAGGAGTCATAAAGGAAGATGGGGAGTTCACCAGGTGAAAAGGGATAAATGCAGGTGTATCAGAGAACAGCACAGACTGGGCACAGAGGCAAGGATCAGCATGCACTGAGGGTGGTTACAAGAAATTCATTGAACATAACATCCCATGAGGTCGGGGAGATGGAGGTGGACAGGGGTCAGACAGTGGTTGGTTTTGATAGGGATGGGGGTAATGGAAAGGTTGGGTCAGGGATTAAATGGAAAGGGGCATAGGAGACTGTCTAAAGGGACAAACATTTTATATCTTGATAGAAGTGGCAGTAAGTTTGTCAAAACTTATTGAACTATATTCTTAAAACTGGAGCATAATAGTCCATGTAAACTACACCTCAGTGAAAGGACCCACTGGAAACGCAAACATGATCTTGCAATATGACAGAGGGATATCGCACTAAAATGAAAGTGGACATCCCATCATCATCACCATTGTCACTGTAGTCATCAATGTCCTCCTCATCAATAGAAGGGTGTGACTTGGAGCCTAAATTGGGATCATACTGCCCTGGACACTATACAATGTGATCTACATAGACATTGTCCCCGGTAGGATAAATGTCACCCAGGCATGATTATGTGGTCATCTACACAGCAGTGCCCAGGTCTGAAGTCACCTGCACAGGAAAGTGTCTTAACAACCCAGCTCAACTCAGCTGAGTGCTAAGGAGATAAGTCTTAAAAAGACTCCCCTGGCTGGTTTGGTTCAGCGGTTAGAGCGTCGGCCTGTGGTCCAGAGAGACCCGGGTTCGGTTCCCACTAAGGGCATATACCTCGGTTGCGGTTTGTCCCCAGCCCTGGTTGGTCGTGCGGGTGGCAGCCACTCGATGTGTCCCTTTGACATCGGTGTTTCTCTCTCTCTCTCTCTCTCTCTCTCTCTCTCTCTCTCTCTCCCCCTCTCTCTCTCCCTCTCTCTCCTTCCCACTCTATCTGAACAGAAAATGGAAAAATGTCCTTGGTGAGGATTAAAAAAAAAAAAAGACGTGGGGGTGGGGGTGGGGGGGTGGGGGGGTGGGGGGTGGGGATGGGATGAATGCCCCAACTCTCTCTGCTCCTGCTGCCTCCCTTGTTCAGTCCTGACCGGAAGCCAGAGGGCAGTGGAGCCTGGGTGATGCCGCTGTTAGGGCCAGCCTCCGGGGACACAGAGCAGGCAGAGGAGGGGAAGGAGGGCTGTGAGGGACTCGGGGAGGCAAGCACAGTGGGTTAAATGTCTTTGATAGTGTGGACACTCAGAGGAGAGTTCTCAGAGTTGATCCCGTGTCCCCAGGCTCTTCAGGAAGCCTGGTAACAGCTCCTTCTGCTGCTGGACAGACATCTCCCAGACTCTACAGAAATCATTTGAATTCATCTGTCACCTGGAGCCACTGCCCCTACTCTACCCCTGTTTGCATTTCATATAATTCTGTCTCGTTTGGGATTTGTTACATTTACAATTCTTCAAAAATCACATACAGGAAAAATAACACCTTAGTTACATGCACATTTCTTCCTAGCTCCTGCTAGAGAGGCAAGAGCTCAGGAAAACATTCTGGTCGAAAAACCAGAGACCCAGCGAGCACACAGGGCCAGCGGGACAGAATCCCTCTGTGCACCCTCTGGTCAGCGCCAGATCAGCAGTAAAGCAAGCAGGTTGGAGCACAGCCACCCTTGACCCTGGACTTTCACCTCCTCCACAAACAGGCTATTTTAGACCTCAGGAAGCTGGCCACCTGGTGGCCCCAGCTGTGTGATCAGGGAGAGAGAGAGAGACAGAAAAAGTAGAGTTGGAACTTTTCTGGAAGGTTTCCTGCTTCTTCCTTATCCAGGAATTGCTCAAAAACTATTTTGTCCCATGGGGGCCACCAAATACATCACAAAGTACAGTCTTACAAAAAACCTCATCCTGCCCCGGCCGGTTTGGCTCAGCGGTTAGAGCGACGGCCTGCGGTCCAGAGAGACTGGGTTCGGTTCCCGCTAAGGGCACGTACCTCGGTTGCAGTTTGTCCCCGGCCCTGGTTGGGGTTGTGTGGGTGGCAACTACTCGATGTGTCTCTCTCACGTTGATGTTTCTCTCTCTCTCTTCCTCCTCCTCTCCTTCCTGCTCTGTATGAAGATAAATGCAAAAATGTCCTCAGGTGAGGATAAAAAACAAAACAAAACCTCACCCTTATCTTTTTTTTCTTTATTGATTTTAGAGTGAGGGAGAGAGATAGGAACATCAATGAGAGAGAACATCGATTGCCCACCTCCTGCATGCCACCTGGCCAGGGCTTGTTAAGGGTGTTCTTTTTTTTCATTATAGAAAATGTTGTACAGTAGAGTTTTCTCAGTGACATTATGGGAAAAGATTCTTTTCACAACCTGAAATAGGCTTTGGTTTTAGGGCAGCGCTGGGATAGGGGAGTGTGAAAGCCTCCAGGCACAAGGGTGCCTTCTGGTCCCTGCTCCGCCTCTGACTGCGTGTGACTTTTTTTTTTTTAATCCTCGCCCGAGGACATTTTTCCATATTTTCTTCAGACAGAGTGGAAGAGAGAGAGAGGAACCCGCATGATCAACCAGGGCCGGGGACAAACTGCAACCGAGGTACGTGCCCTTAGCGGGAACCAAACCCCCATCTCTCTGGACCACAGGCCGACACTCTAACCGCTGAGCCAAACCGGCCAGGGCTGCATGTGTGACTTTTTAAAATGGCTTCACTGAGGTGTAATTGACGTACACTCAACTGCACATACTTAATGTGTACAATTTGGTACGTTTTGATATATGCATACACCCGTGAAACTACACCCATATCAAGATCGGGAGCATATCCATTTCCC